TTAATATATACACTTACACACACACACACACACACACACACACACACACACACACACACACACACACACACACACACACACACATAAAATATATATGTATAATCAGATGATACATCTTGTACTGAACAAAACCAAATGCTGCTACAACCAGGGTCAAACAAAAACAAATTTGTTAAATATAAAACCTTCAAGCAACTAGAATACAAATTGTATCACTTACCAAAAAAATGATTTGTAAACCTATGTCTGGCCAAGATTAGGTACAAACATTAATAAATAAAGCTGGGAATTAGAAAAATTATCTAATTCACCAGAGAGTAACATAATGTTTCAAAATTAAACCACTTCTCAATATCAAGAACAATATTCAGCAATAATTAGTAATAACTCTTTCTAACTATTTCTTATGATCAAGGAAGGCTTTTTTATTTAGTGACTAATGTGACTAGCTATTACCAGTAGCCTACATAATCTTTCACAACATTAATATCTGTACGTCACTGTTAGGGGAAGCTTGTGTCAGTTTCATTATACGTACACACTCAAAATCAATGTGCTCTAGATAGAAGGTGATGTAGTGTTTTAATATAACTAAAAAATCTTAGTTGAACTAAATGACATAAGGAATAATAAATGAATGATAAACAAAACTATAACAAAATGAAATTAGAATTTTCTAGTTTACAATCTGTTCAAATAAGTTATTGTGTATCCATTGAGATACATGAATAGTGTTCATTAAATTATAGATCTGTTACTGTATTGAAGTATTAGTTATAAAAGTATAGGTCACTTGAGTTGAAGAAGTGAATATATTTTTAGATATAGCAGTGTTAAGGTATAGACCTGTTAAGATGAAGAATTGTACATCAGTTCAAATAAAAAATATATCTGTTTAGATACGTAAGTGTTAGTTATAAGTATTGATCTATTCAGATAACGAAGTGTACATTTGTTTAAATATGGAGGTATCAATCAGAAGTATAAAGATACATTCAACTAAAGACAAAAGTCATGTTTATCTCTTTAAATATAAAAGTACCATTCAAAAAGTATTGATTTGTTCAGATGAAAAATATACAACTGTTTAGATATGGAGGTATCAAACAATGGTATACATTTTTTCAGGTAAAAAAGTGTATCTGTTTAGATATCTTCTATAAGAAATATTATTATCAGAGGTTAATAATGTAAGATTTTGTAATTATATTAATCGTAGATATTTGATTAACATAAAAAATTGTTAAATTTTGACCAATTTAGTAAAATTTTAGCATAATGCATTCAGATAATTTTTAACACTACCTTAGTGAATGAATTATTTCCAAAATAGTATTACCTTCTTTTACCCAAAGCTATCTTGATCTGGTTTGCTCTCTAAGCATTGCTAAAAAAGTTTTGCTAACAGCACTCCAGTCTTTTATACCCCTTCCTTTTTGTGCCATTACAGAAAGTGCTGATCATGTGACTACCCTCCACCAATCATACTGCACCCTCTACTATTCTAGCACAATCCTCACTTTTTTGATTGGCATTCTAGTGTATAGACATGTGTTTTAACTCATTCTCCATGTGGCTACAAAATATTTATTGTGCTTGATCACAAATTTATATCAGGACTTCTTGTGTTTGGGTAAAACAGCAATACCTAAGCCAGCTGATTACATGGAAGCACGGTAACAGGTGGAAAGTGCCATAGAGAGAAAGTTCCACACAGTAGTTCCTTCCTCATAAACATTAGTAACATCAAAGGCGAAATCATCAGCCGAACATAAGACATGAACTCCCCATGTGCTTTCCCAGCAGACATCATTGACCCTGATACCTGGGAATTCCTATCAGAACCATTGTCTACTAACGCAGGAAGTTCATCAACCACCATATTAAATCACAAATTCATATGAACAAATTAGAATTTGTGAAAATATATTTTTAAAACAAACAAGTAGAAACAATGGAAATTAGGAGATCTGTGGTAAGTTTTTCAGTGCATATTCCTCACTCCAATATTTAGTGAATTTATGTGTGCTTGTGTAGGTGAACCTCATTTCTGCAATTGATAATTTAGGTCTTTCCTGTCTTCCCTACTGAGTATCTGGTAAGTTAGATTTTTGTAATTCTTTTACCATCTAAATTAGTTAAAATTTTCATATATAATTGGATTAGTACTTTGTTTTTGTTTAATTTTCGGTATATGTATTAGTTTTGCATGATCACTACCCTTTGGGTAATTGTATTTTTCAGCTAACTTTGTGAGTGTGTTGGTTCTTTTAATTTTACTTCCTTTTACTGTTTGTTATCTAGTTTGTAAGTTCCTTTTTATATACTACTAGTCACATCTAATTGAAGATTAGATTTGAGTCAAAATTTGGGTGCCTTTTTATTCTCATGTTCTTCAGGGTAGATTTTACTTTTGTGTCCTTTGTCTTATAGGTTCTTTGGGTTGTCTTATATATTAGAAATTTAAGGTACTTTTATCTTCTTCTAGTGGTTTTGTACTTTAGGTGTTGATCAGTGTTTTGTTTTAGGTAGAATTTCATAGTTTTGCAGGTTTGTTATTTTTATGTACTTTGTAGACTATAAATTTCTAAGTTTTGTTAGTTTGTTATTATTGAGTACTTCCTCTAAGTATGTTTAGTTTGTGTCTTTTTCATTACACTTCCTGAGATGTCTGTGGGTTCTATGGGTTCTATCTGAAGGTTTTTGCCTTCAGTTCTGCTCCCCCTCTAACTACTTCCCAGATCTCCTTCCCTCCTCCTCAGGATCTAGTTGCAATAGTATAGATGATGCAGTGTGATTGATGGAGGGTAGTCACATGATCAATGCATGTTCTGAAATGAAAATGAAGGGGTATAAAAAACTGGTGCACTGTTAGTGAAACTGTTTTTAGCAATGTTTAGAGGGCAAACCAAGATAGAAATAGCTTTGGGTGATAGAGGTAAGTACCTATCGGAAATACATTTTCAGTGTAAGAAAATGTTAACTTCCAATTTATCATTAAGATGGGCAACTCTGCGTAAACTAGTTGAAGAAAAACGTGAAGAAATTGATTTTGCACATGGAGTGCAGACTTTTCACATTGAATGCAGAGAAACCACTGTAAGTATGCAAAATATTCTTCATCAGAGCTTACAATAAATAGAATTATTTTCTTTAGGTGCCATTTGTGTTTTGTTTGACATTTGATAGAAGTAAACTAGACTGTCTACAAGTATTAAGGAAAGTTTAACTTTATTAATTTATTATTATATAGTACTTAACACATTCACGACATTGTGCACTACTGGTGATACATAAGCATGTTTTCTGTTGGACGTTGTTGTGATCCACCCATGGTACACAGCACCCATGAGATATAACTCTACCTCATATCTCCAAAGTCCTATATGAAGCATTTACTTTATACAGATGGCTATAATAAAGGCACACCTTCCATCATGTACCACTGGTGGAGCACAAATGCCATGTTGAAAGGACAACTGAAGTAAAACAAATTTACGTGATTAAATCACTTTTTATTTTATAATTTCATCTAGAGACTGGCATTAAATTTTTCATTGTGAGTAATTGAAACAAAAAAAGCACTAATTGAGACTTCTTTCATAAATAAGAAAACTGTTATGAAGACTGTAATATAATAAGGATACAACTATTATCATCCACAGTAGTGATTATTTTAAGCCCATAAAATTATGAAATACTCATACTTCTAAAAAAATGGTAAGATTAGGCTGCAAAAAAGAGAAAAAAGAATTAAGTGTTTTAATTATGTGATTATTATTACTTAAATCAGAGTGTGCACCACTGATGGTACATGACAGCCAAAGCTTAAATGGGTAAAGACAGGACGTCATGTACCACTGGTGGTGCACTCAAGAGAAAGTTCCCAATGCAGTCATTTTGTCATAAAACATAACAAAGCCATAAAATTAGCTGTATCTAAGGCAGAGTTCACAAAGAGGCCTTACGTTCCTGTTGCATAATTAGAGAAATCACACTATGAACATGTTAAGCAATGTTTTTACTGTTTAAAAATAATTTTATGTTACAAATTTATGGGTTTAAATTTTGTCTAGTGTTTGGACCATCAGAATAATTACTTTTTCATTTTATTTTGTATTAAAATTAACATTTAAAAAATCAAATCTTTGGAGATCCTTTGTTGTTGTTTTTTGTCCCAGTAAATTAGTAAGTCATTGGCAGTAGGTGTGAGATGTGTGACCAAACTTATAAACTTTAACTCACTTAAGCTGATTTTCTTTCTAAGATAAATTTTTATTATTGGTTTCAAACTTTGACATTTACATAATGCTATAGACGTGGATTGAAGAGAAGAAAAAGATACTGCAGGCCACAGAGGAGCTGGATAATGACTTGGCTGGCATCATGACCCTACAGAGAAGACTAAGTGGCATGGAAAGAGATCTGGCAGCTATACAAGCCAAGGTTAGCTGAATCTTAAGAAGAACAAATTTTAAATTACATGTTATTTCACTTGAAATATATAAATGTTTGCACAACCTATAGTGTTCTGTTGATTCTTAATATTTTGAAATATAGATAGATTAAAAACCTAGCAAATACTACAAAATTCTTTGTTTTTTAAGGCTGATGTTTGGAACATATTGGTCAATGATGACATTTTGAAAGTCATTCTTATTGAGAGCTTATTTGTTGTTGGGAGCCTTTTTTATTAGTCAAAGATTGACAGTATTTTAGATTCTGTAGAAGTAATCATAAGATAATAAAATTTTTAACTTGTGTTGTATGTGTTTATTGTAAAACTGATTTATTCACAGAAACTATTATTCTTATTCATTGTATATCAATAATAATTATTTATTTTTATTACTTGAGTTATTTTAAGAAATCTTATGATGGCTCATCAGTAAACTTGAGGGTTTGTAATGCTAATATTCAGGCTTCAAGCCCTGTGGTGGGCACAGCATAGCTAAACCATTGTGCAACTTTGTGCTTACTAACAAACAAATTTTTAAGAACTGATGCAAAGAGTCAAACCCAATATATATATAAAAAACAAACAAACAGGCAGAGTTTTAATACAGGCTTCAGAGTTTGAGGGTCCTTGCCTCAAATACCACAAACACATTTTTTTAGGTCAAGCATGTACATGTAGTGCCATTTTGTGTTGAGTAGTGCTGATACCTCCTGCAAAGGAATACTGTGGTCTAATATCACATATAGTTGGTTCCACAATTACTCATTCTTTCAACTTTAACGTATTTATTCATTTATTTTTCATTACATAATATGAATGCACTTTTAGTTTTTTCTCTCACTTGGGAACTCAAGTGTTGTACATTGGAGGTGGCATGGCAGAGAATGAATATTTATTGAATTTTTTCACCATAGATTTAAACAGTATTTTTAAACACTGCTGCATTTCTACTAGTATTTCATGGATAGCAGAAGTAGCAGCCTAAAAAGAATTCTTGCTGATTATTTTAATGATAGAAATAGCAGATTAATGAATAATATAGGTTAATAGATAAGAAATACTACAGATTAATAAATAAAAATATTTTGCAGACTTGGAGTATTGTGAAGAAAGAAATAATGTGCATGCATATGAGAAAGTTTATTAAAATATTTGTTAGAATATATTATAATGTGAAAGTGTATTGTGAGTTGGATTGTTTAGTTAATATGATAATCACATTTATTTTTTTCAGCTTGACTCTTTAGAGCAGGAAGCAGAAAAGATTCAAAAGGAACAACCAGAGGTAACATTTACTCTTTGGAAAAGCTTATTTCTAGTTAAATGCTAATTTCATTTTTAGGTTATTATTCTTTTTCTAGTGACCTTTAGCTCTTTATCTTCCTAGAAAAAATAATTTATTCTACATCAAGAGCTACAAAACTTGGTTCATGCTTGAGAAGAGGATCGATATATAATCCATCATTTTTTTAAAACTGAAAAGGAGTTAAATATATGATTATGATAAACAAATTGTGATGACAGAAATACTGCATTTGTGAACCAACTTTTTTACTATCTAGCTGCAAATAAACTTTCTAACATATTGTTCTGTAACTTTACAAACAATATTACTTTATGAAGTTTTCGTAAAGTAATGTTAACTATAAATTAACAGTTTGATCATGTTTATGGCAATATGTTGCCAATGGAGCTAACATTATTTGTCAAAAAACAAACTTGTATCTTTAGGGCTAAAATGATAAATTACAGATTACATCATAAATTTGTGTCCAAAATATAATTATATAAAAAGCTCATTTATTGACGTTTTTGTTTATTTTCTTATTTTTGCTTATGACAAATTGTCTGGACCCTAAACCACTACCCAGTGTATTAGGAAAAATGGTAACTACATTTAGCAATTATACAGTATACTGTTTTTTTCAATAGATGCTAAAAGTTATTGAGAGAGTGAACTAAGAAAAATACTATTTATGATAAACTGAAATTTTTTGATAGGAGGCTGAAGTAGTACGTGGAAGAATTTCTGAAATTAAGAATGTCTGGGAGCAGCTGACTTACCTGGTATAATATCTTCTTCTCATATGGATAAAGCATGTGTAATAGTTTTACATTGTGTCCTCCATTTTTATATTTATGAGTCTATGATAGTGTATAACATTTGAGGTATTTCCTTCTGGTTTAATACCGAAGATTGCCGTGTGATAAAAGATAAATGCCCTTTATATTTAATTAAAGAAGTTGAAAAATAATTAATAGCTTTGTTTTAAAGGCATTAATATTTTTGCATAATATTAGTATGACAACACTGGCTTTGGCAATAGAATACATTCTGATACACTTTAATTATTGAAAACAAATGGCAAGTTGGGTACAATGAATCAAAATGTTTGTTGCCAAAATGAATTGTAAACATATTGAATCTTTGTCATACTTTCTTTAGCTTAAAGATCGTGATTCAAAGCTTGAAGAAGCAGGAGACCTCCATCGCTTTTTGCGTGACCTTGACCACTTCCAAATTTGGTTGACTAAGACCCAGAAAGATGTGGCTTCTGAAGATATACCTTCCAGTCTGGCTGAAGCAGAATCTGTTCTTAGTCATCATCAGCAAATCAAAGAAGAAATTAACAACTATGCAGATGATTTTAATCAAATGATGGAGTATGGTGAACAAGTCACAAAGGATCAAACTGATTCACAGTACATGTTCCTCCATGAGGTGAGAAGCAACAGGAAGTTAAGTTATCCTGTTTTAACCTTCAAATTACCAACTTTTTTTACACTGGTTACTATAGGTGGGATCAACATATTGCATCCTACTCATAAATTCTCTATTTTTGCATGTTACAACACTCAGTATGAATTGTTGATCAAAAACATTTGTTGAAATCACTGATTTACTGAGTAAAATACAAAATGGGCTCCAGAAAGAATTAATGGAATTAATTACAGTACTGTTCATATTTTTTTTTAGTAATTTATTTGTGTAACTCTTGTATTATTAGAGACTGTAACCAAAAAAGTTGGACCCACAAGCAATTTAATTTAGTGTGTAAATAGCTTATCAAAATGTGTTTAAAAAAATGATAGCATTCATGGAATATATCTGCATGCTTAGAGTTAAAAGAAACTTATATAATCAAGCTAATATCTTTTGGTAATGATTATTTTTAGTATTAACAACTGGAATAAGTGGCACTGTGACATTCTTATAATTGTCCTTCTCATGTTATTGGCAACTAGCAATTAGTTTGTTAATTCAAGTCTGTTTCATTGGTTTTAACCCTATCACTCCGGGTATCCTTTACGGCGCATGACACAAGGTTTTAGCGCCTTACATTCAAATTTTATTAAACTACTTTTTTGTTTATGTTATATCAATTAGAATAGCATAAAATCTTAGCTAATAATTCATATTTTAATAGTATACAAGTTTTTAATTCTTATTTCTACAAGGTAATGTTTAAAAAAAATCCTGAATTTCCACTAGTGTGACCCACGTGACACATTTTCTCTTAGCATGTCATCATCCATATTTTATCCACCACCCTTCAAAGAAGTATGAAATTAAACATAATTTACACTCTATGAAATCGTTATTGCTCAGGCAAATCATAATTTACATAGTTTTCAATTTTGTTTGGTTACAGAGCTATCAAACAGAAAATCAGACCCCTCCTGCCACACCCACCTGTCACATCCTCTCTTTCATAATTCATTGATAGTTCTTTCTTATTTTTCATTATATCTCACCTATAACCAATAGAAAGTCAAGGTTTTCATCTATCAAATGACGTATTGTATAACGTTATGTTCTGAACAGTTAGAAGTCGATTTCATTCAGAGTAGCAACATCGTTCCCATGGGAAAGCTTGGATAAATTTATAACGGCTCTTGGTGCATAGCTAGAAAGCCAGAAAAATTTTGAGAGGTAAGGGAACTTGTCTATTTTTTGCATGTGTTATTAGTCTATATTCTTTGGTGCATTATTTAATTAAATAAAAATTGTTAAGTGCATTACTATTAGTACTATAAAAATTAGGCTTAACTGTCATTGACAATTGAGAGCAAGAAAAAAGAAGATTGTGTAAGTACTTTATATCTTGTTTTTTATATTTATTATTTATTTATTGTTATAAAAGTAACTAAAATCTAAAAATATGGATCTTTAAAGTTATTTAAGACTGTAGGTAAAATTGGTAACAGTATTAATATAATTTAAATGGTTCATGATGCACGCATGCAAGCAGCTCTTAGTAGCTCATGGGTAATGTAATTCAATAAGCGTAACATGGCCTGCACATTCTCCAAGTGATTTACAACTTTTTATTGCAAGGATAGTAGCTAGACACAGTTCAAAGGGCAATAAAGCAAAAAAATTTAATTATGAGTTGATTATAATGCTATGAATGTAGAGATAATTAGGATAAACGAATGTAGTTTCATATTACAATTTAAAGTCATTCTAGAAAGAAAAAAGGTAATTTATGTTAATTTTGATTTTATTTTGGTGGTTGTGAGGTCAGTCAAATTGACCAAACCCAGTTTTGAGATAGGGTAAAGAAAATAACAGATAAACTATAAAGTTTTACTGAAAAAAACGTTTGAAATACATTTAGGAGGTTTTAGGGATTACACAAAAGAAATTTGAGGTTTTTGAGATGAGGAAAAGTATTTTTAATTTTAACATGAAAAATTACTTTGCACACAGACTATTGAAAACAAATCTCAATATATTTGTGGACAAATCTTTATTTGATTTTATTAAAAATACTTCATTAAAAAATATGATTTTTTGCATGTGAAAGACTTGTAATGTTATCTGAAAGACTGCCAAATTTCATGAAGATATACATACTATATTGAAAACTATAAGTATTAATCTATAAAGACTTTAAACAAATACCAAAAGGTCACATGGTCGATCAGATTGACCAAGTCATATTGAGAGAGTTAAAAAAGTAAAACGTTGTGCATTTTGGAAACAAAATCAGATAACCCATGGCTGTGAATATTTAAGAGCTTAATTAAAAGTTTTTCTTTCAGCGTTTACGAGCCCTTCAGGATGGTTGGACTGAATTGTTGCAGATGTGGGAGAACAGGCTTCAGCTATTGTCACAGAATCTGAACCTTCATATGTTCATGAAGGATGCCATACAAGCAGAAATTATACTCAACCAGCAAGAACATTATCTTTCAAAAGACAAAAGTCCTGTAATTATTATTTCAACTATTTTCATTCAAAAATAGGATTTATCTACTTACAAATATTACATTGTATCTTATTTGTTTATAGTACAACAAAAAATGTTTCTCTTAGTGACAATAAACGATGAGTTGGTATTTTGTTCATTAACATGAGAAAGACTTCATTGTTTTGATATAGCTTATCAGAAATTCAGTTCTACAGAAATTGAAAGCATATATTCATAATTATAATAACATTCAGCTTATAAACCATTTTGTTCTATTAATAATAATACTGTTGTTCAGATTGCAGTTTATGATTGGAACTGAACATTTACAGTATTCAACAGAGATTTATGAAAAATGTAGTGATCATTGTTATAAATCAGCAGTTCCAAACCTTTTCTATGCTGAGGGCCCCTGAAGTATAATAATTTTTCCTTGCTTGCTCTCCCCTTTTCAGGCTGAATTATATCTTTCACTCAGTTTTTAATAATTCCAACAACTACTATTTTACAAGCACAGTTTCCTTCATTTTTGTAGTAAGGCAAATTTTAATGTTCTGCTTATTATTGTTTTACAAGTACAGTTCTTTCTTCTTTGTAGTAAGATAGATTATAATGTTCTAGTTATTACTGTTTTACAAGCACAGTTTCCTTCATTTTTGTAGTAAGACAAATTTTAATGTTCTACAATTTACTGTTTTACAAGTACAGTTTCCTTGTGTGTATAGTAGAAAAGTTTCAATGACTTGCTTGCTTGTGTTACTCACCCATTTTGCAATACAGCAATATATAGGCCAGAATCTGCTCCCATTAGTGGCTACTTAAAACTTTAATCACCCCAAGTAACTTGTATATTTCAAGACCATTTTGAGCCTCCCCCTCTTTCACAGCTATAATTAGCTATCTTTTATGTGGTAACTACTAGTGGCCACATTTATCACTGTAACTATGTTAACCCTACCTTATATCATACTAGTGTTACATCTTAACTAATATTAGCTATATATATATTTTACCAACTCATCATTTTATTGATTGCTCTATATATGTATCATAATTAAAAGTGATTAAATTTTATGTCTCATCTAATACTGTCTGTATGTTCTAGCACAAACATCTATTACTTTACATAATCTAAACTAATGTTGATCATAACATAATTTGTAGTGTCTGTTGGGTCATATATTGCATTTCAGGAAACTTGTCAACAGATTTAGTTTCTGTTTGATTTAAAGTGTTGAAAATATTATTTTTTATACTAATAATAACACTTGTCTTCAATGCAGACTAACTTGGAACAAACAGAAAATATGATCAAGCAACATGAGGCTTTCCTCTCAACCATGGAGGCAAATGATGAGAAAATCAATGGTGTTGTTGAGTTTTCAGAGAGAATATGTAATGAAGGTCATTTTGCAGCTGATAGAATACACAAGAAGGCTGAAAATATCAAAGAGAGGTGAAAAATTTTATATACTATTCATACAAGTTTTAAATCCATAGTACAAAAAAAGTGAAATATGTATATTTCAAATTTACTTGTCATTGTATTTCCAGTTGTCTGATCTACTGAGTTCTGAAAAACATTTTAAATATCATTTGTAACTAGCTTATCTTATGTATGCTATGAATTTTTCGACTTTTTCAACATTATTATGATATGGTGGTATAGAGCAGTAAGTAAAATTTAAGTTTCTCGTAAACAAAATTTTTTTTTTGCAGGATTATATTTAATCATAGGCAATAGAAATATAAAATTATTTCAGAGTGAAAATAGTTGTTTCTCAGCACGAATGTATGCTTACCACTTGACCATTTATTTACATAAATTTCTGTGTGCATGTAAAAGTACTAGTTTACAATTAATAAATTATTTCTTTATCTCAATAAAACCACATTTTATACTGTTAGAATTGTTACTGTGCTCTTATGACTTAATTTTAACATATTACTATGAAACGATGCTCTTACAAATGGGTGTATATATAATAAGAATATTGCATGGAATTTCACTTTATTTTGTTATTTTTAAAAGAATTAAACAATTGTAATGGAGAAGTTTTTTTTAGAAATAAGTATAAAGATATTGCTTTTTAGCAAGTGTAAAGTGTAACTGTGTTATGGGAATAACTTCATGTGGTTGTTAAATGTGTTCCAGTGATTTTCAGATCATAGAAATCTCATGGCCCATGTTTGACATTTTTCATTTTCAAAATATGTAAGCTGCATTTATTTTGCTTCTTTTGCATAGTAAAGATATGTTTCAATATTCTGAATATTACTGTTTACAAGTACAGTTTTCTTCTTTTGTGTAGTAAGGCAGGTTTCAATGTACTGTAGTTTACTATTTTATAAATTGTTTCTTTTGAGTAGTAAGAGAGGTTTCAATTTCCTGCATACTACTATTTTACGTCTAGTGAGACAGGTTCCAGTTTTCTGTGTAGTACTGTTGTACAAGTACAAATTCCTTCTCTTGTGTAGTAAAACATGCTTCAGTGTTCCGTGTAATACTGTTTTACGAGTACAATTTTCTTTTGCATAGTAAGACATGTTTCAGTGTCCTGTGAACTACTGGTTTCTACATTTATTGTATCTTACTGTGAATTTTTTATGACTAGTTTGGATATTTTTTCAGTGACATTATATTCACCCAGCTATGTTGTTGGCTACTTTATGCTATTAGGTATATAGATCAAGTTTGATAGCTCATTTTGTATTTCATGAATTTCTCCTCTCACAGATGTAATGCTAATCATCAAGAAGCTATAAAACAGATGGACAAACTTAAGGATCAACTTGAACTTCATCAATTTTTACAAGACTGTGATGAAGTAAGTTTGACACTAATGTAGGAATGTAGTGAAAATTAGTTAAAAATTGATTTTCAAAAGCTATTCTTTACTGAATTAATTTAATGGTTTGATTAAAAGGAAAGTGTATGCACATGCACGTACACATACACAACATATTTTTCATGTAGTTTATTAATTTTAGTATTACTATAATATAAATTTTGTAGTTATACAAAAAAAAAAATTAGTTTTATATATCTAATATACACTTACACATAACTTAATACTTTAGGGAGTAACATTTATATGAGCTTCAAAGCTGTCTATATATATACCAACATGACTATTTTCATTGTGATTTATTTATAATTTAATTTTTTTTAGTTTTCTGATTGGATGCAAGAAAAATTTATCACTGCCCAAGATGAAACTTATCGAAGTGCAAAGACTATTCATAGCAAATGGACTCGACACCAAGCCTTTGATGCTGAAGTTGCCTCCAACAAACCTCAGTTGGAAAAGTTAGTTGAGGTGATGAATTAAAAATATATAGTTTATTATTTCTTCAGAATAAAAGCATTTGATTTATTTTTATGGTTAAAGTATTTCATCAGATGGTGTTCCATGTTCTTCCACTTTTATGTTTTTGGGTCAGTGGCAGCATTAAACATAAGCAATTCCTTGCAATCTCACATTGATGAGTTAAAAAGAATATTGAACAAACAAAATTAGAAAGTCAATTTATTATTCTATTTTTATCTCTGGTAAAAGTATGACAAAACATGCGATGTTAAGTCCCTTAAGATAACAAGCAAATAACTTGATCTTTCATTTTAAAGTTACTTTTGGGGAGAATAAGTTCTATTAAGCTTCTTGCTATTATTGAGAAACAAATTAGTCAACTGTGTAATGTGATTACCTTGCAGTTGGAAACCTCATGCTACGAAGACTGGCATTGCTTTGAGATACATTATAATTAGAAATAGCCGTATCATTTGGTTTGGTTTGAGGTTCCACTAGATCAGCACTTCTCAATCTATTTTAGGGCCAAGCAACATTATTTGTTAATGTGACTTAAGCAAGTACCAGAAAAATAAGGACCAAAATTATTAAAGAATAAGATCACATAGTGCTGCCCTCTATATGCAAAATATTTTCGCATGCCACAGCTGCCTTGCACTGCCACGTAACCAATGACAACCCTTCACCAATAGGAGTGCAACATACTCTCCTGACGCGTGTGACTCCCTCTATTCAAATCTACCAAACTATTACTTCTTGATAAGCAGTGCTATAGTCGAGATGTGTTTTGATTGTACTCTCATCATGCATTTTTCTCTTTAATATTATCATATGAAGTTGAAAGATCATTTATATCTTTTACTACTGTTTTATTTTTTAGTTTTCAGTGATAACTTATCTTGATTCTTCTTTTTTATTTTAATAATTTTCATAATTTTATGATGAATATCAAAGTTAATGTTACCACTTCGGAGATTCTATAATTTGCTATCATCACAGTTACACAGGCTTCTAGTCTGGGGAATCAACTGAGGAATTTTCGGCCTTAATTTGTTGGGAGATTGAACATTATCTGAGTTGACCTTCTTCTCTTGATAGTGCTTGACTTCCTCCTGAACCTGCCAAACCTCTTTGTGTTGATGAGGATTTTGACAGCCTTTTTCCTCCTCCCAATAATGCTGTACCTTCCTGTGTCTCTCCTGCAGAATCTGTTAGGCCTAATTCATCCTTTTGTAAACATAATTTCTAAGGTTTGTTCTGTTTTATCCATTTCCTTGATTTCTTATAATCCTGTTCCATTCTCATTACACGACATCTCTTCCTTCCAGTATATTGTTTTCCCTCTTTCTCCTGATGTCAGGGTTTCATGCTGAGCATGAGCATTTTGTTTCTCAGTTGCGAGCTGATGCCAGCATACCTCACCCTCTGTGGGTTATGGATCAGTTTGCCTTGGCTTACCATCAGGTAGATTACCCCTTTCTTGATTCTCAACAGTTAGAATAACTACTGCCAGTATGGGGGTTGATCATGACAATCCTGTCTGTGTATCCCAGGCCCAGTTTTCTCACCTTTACGACTCTCCTGCAGTACTTGTACACCATGCACCCTTTTTTTGAAACACTATACAGATCTTTTGAGGGTTTTAGGGGATACCCTCTCCAATCTTTACCTCTACCTTGGCACAAGTGTCCTTCTTGGCTCTGTCTCTTCACATGTAGTTTCTTTGCTGTTTGTATCTTCTGGGGAGGCACATTGTTTTGTCCCAGGCTCATTTACCATCCACTGATCTATGGGACTTGCGGGTGGCTCTTTTTTTCCAATAGTTTCCGGGAATATTCTTGAAACTTTGGAATTGTGTGTGGACCCTTTTGTCTTTGGTTGCTCATTTTTCACACTCTGGACTCTTGCAATCCCTTGTTCCACGTCTGATGCCCTCCTGTTATTTACCTGTTCCCCCCACTAGGGGTTTCACAGTTCATCGTGTTTATCGATGTAGGTCTCCTCATCACCAGCAGTACCAGTGACTATATTGTGGGTTCTGGTCCAGTGGGGGCTTGTTTGACCAATTTTGTTCACATATGGTGGGAATTTGCTACCGATCATTTTGTTCTTCAGGTCTTGTCAGAGTGACTTGTCATTCAATTCCTTTCCCCACTTTCTATTGTCTCCTGTTACCATATCCCATATCTGTTACCTCAGGATCCTCCTAACAGTCTATGTCTGTCAGAGGCAATGCAGACTATTCGATCACAGAGAGCTATTGAGTCTGTCAGCCATCCTTCCCCAAGTTTTTCCTCCAGGCTGTTTGTGGTACCCAAGAAAAGCAGGGACTGGCACCCTGTGTTTGATCTCTCCCACCTCAATCAATTTCTAGATCTTCCCCATTTTCCAATGGAGTCCTTTCTCACACTAAGGTGGACTTTCTCTCCAGGATTATGGATGACCAAGGTAGATGTTTCGAATGCCTATCTACATATTTCCTATTTCTCCTTGATGTAGATGCTATCTTCCATTTGTCCATCACGGGGTTGTGTACCAGTTTCATGCCATGCCCTTTGGGCTTACTTTGGCTCTGTGTGTCTTTTGTCAGGTTGTCAAAATTTTTGACTGACTTATGAATGCTCAGGAGCTACATTTACACCACTACATGGGCAACTGGCTTCTGTTAGCTCCTTCAGAAATGGAGTCTTCACATCATGCATGTCTCCTTCTGTCCGAAGCTACATGAGTAGGTTGGATAATCACTTATCAGAATGGGGGCTGACCATGATAATCCTGTCCCTACATGGTTGGGGTGTGTGGGCCAATCAGCAGGATGCTTACAGACAATGGTCTACCACCAAGTGATCTTACCATATCAACACCTTGGAGCTTATGGTGGTATGACAAGCTTTGGATCACTTTCTTCCTATACTCAGAAATCGAATTGTCATGATCCATTCTGACAATTCTACACTAGTAGCTTATATCAACCATCAAGGTGCTACCCATTCTCACTGCCTTTGTAGTTGAACTTGAGATCTAATTTTTTGGGCTCACATGCTTGGGATAAGTGTCATGTTCTGGGTGCTTTCAACATTGTGGTAGATCATCTTTCTAGACTGGACAAATTTTATCCCACAGAGTGGTCCTTCGATCCTTAGGTTTTTAGGTGGCTATACTTACAGTGAGGTACTTCTCAGCTGGATGCATTTGCCACTTTCCTCAATTCCAAGTTATCTCTTTTTTGGTCTCCGGTTCCTCATCCACAAGCCCTAGCTGTTGATGCATTCAGCCAGGATTGGACCAACTGATACCTTTATATTCATCCTCCAATCCTTCTTCCCAGCTGATTTCAACCATCCATGCCACTCCTTTTCAGGTTCTTCTGATTGCTCCTTACTGGCTGGCACAACCCTGGTTTCCTCAAGTACTTCAACTCCATACTGCCCCTCCTTTGCTTCTTCATCTCACTCCATCTTTTCTACGTCAACTTCAGTCACCAGTATTTCATCCCACCCTTCCTATCCTACTTCTTCACGCCTGGCATTTATCAGGACTTGCAGGGGTAAAGCAGAAGGGGATTGCAACCCATCCCTGCTGTTCCTTCAATTAAATAAATCGGGGGCAGTCTGCTTTCCAAAATAAGGTTTTCATGGTCAGTCCTTGCACTGTCTTTGGTGTTGGCATTCCTCTAGACTCTCCACTGCATTTTATCCCCCTCTTGTTCTTCAAATGGAGTATGGGAGTTCTTGCCACTTTCCAGTTCCAGGCTGCTGGGGTGGTGGACCATAGAGGTATCCTCTTGAATGTGATCTAACACTAACAAATGAATACACAACATCCATTCAGTTGAGAGTATGCTGGTGGTGTTCTGCTGGTGTAGAAAAGGCTGGTCCTACATTCATGTATTCTGTTATAAGTGATAGAAATAATTTACTGAACCAAGTACAACTAAACAAAAGTTTATAGAACATTCACCTTTAAATAAAGCTAAATTAATAAAAGACCCATGAAAGAAAAACTTAATTATCAAACAATAAGTGTTATTTTGATCTGAACAATGACATAAGATAAAAACAAAGAAATAAATAAATCAAAAGAAATTGACTACACACATGTCTGTAGAAAAGAGTGAAAAGCATCTATTAAGAATTTTTTAACACTTGAGAGAGAGTCCCTCAAGGGGTTTTCTTTGTGTAGTGTGTCTATTTTAATAATTCTTATGGTTTTTATATTTAATACAGGCTGGGCAAGCACTTATTGCTGATAAACCTGACATGAAAGATATCATTGAACCCCATTTGGAGGATCTTGCACAGCAGTTTGAAATCTTGGAAAGGACAATAAAGGAGAAAGAAGAGAAATTGTTTAATGCCAACAGACCAGTTCTTTATGAACAAACCTGTGATGATGTAGACAGCTGGATTACCGACTTAGAAAACCAAGTTCTATCTGCTGAAACGGGCCAGGATCTTACCAGTGTGAACATCATTCTTCAAAAACAACAGGTTAGAATAAAAAAAATAGTGTAATATAGTACCACTATAAGTTCCTTTTTTTGTATTGGTTGAAATTTTCTATACTTTTTTTCCTACTTTCTTGACAAAACATTTATCATTACATTAAAAAAAACTGTCATCTTTGTGTTGATACTTTTCTATAAACAATTAATATTAAGGCGTGTTTTTTTTTTTTCGTAATAGTAAAGTAAATAATTATTGCACAAAGATCACGTAATGTTCTTTCAGGTTTTAGGTTCAATAAAAATTTTATCCGAAATTTATTGTTAAAATATGTCATAATGTATTATACATTGAATGCTAAACTAGTTAATTGGTAAGAACATGACATTAAAATGGTAAGAATATGTGATTTAGAATATTCTCTAAGGGCACTTTATTTTATGTATAGATGATAGAAACTCAAATGGCAGTAAAGTCCAAACAGGTGTCTGAAATTAAGAATCAGGCTGAGTTTCTAGAGAAGTTGGAACCTGATAAAGGTGATGACATTCAAGCAAGGAAGGTACACGTGGAAGAGAGGTAGGTGGAAATTAGGTGAACCAGTATGACCTTTTTGGACATAGACACACACAATCTGAATTGGGAACAAAAGAACTAACATTTTTCTAATGGTACGAAGAATATTTCATTGGAGGAACTCTTGCAAGGACAATACAAGAAACAACTTACGACAAAACAACAAATTTATACCTATTTTTCACTGACGGAAGCTAGAACCAAATTACATACTTTCATTTGTACTTTCAGAAGGTTTGATATAACAAACAAGTTTTAAACTTTTGTTTTTTCATAAGGTAAGTATTTTCATTGAAACATGGAAGAATTAAAGGTTGTGAGCACTAACCCTAGCAGCTAGTTGTGGGACATCTGAGAGTAAGATTCCATGTTTCAGTGACTGTCTTATTTTTAAACCTTTTAAACTTGGTATATTGAACATCAGAAAGTATTTATCCATTTCAAAGTAATTTTTTTTTATTTGAGCTTATAGCCTTAGATGGGAGGTGTCATAAAATTTTGTATTGTTTAGTTATCTCATAATATTAGGTGGAATTTGTCATAATATTTTGTATCATTTGATTGTCTAGCATTAGGAAATCTGAACTACAATATTAAATACTCTGAATTGTTTGAAACATTCATTTTAAAACTAGTAGTGTTGAAGTTAAAGTTTGAAATTCTTGTTCATCGTTTCATATTGTTTTTAAAAGCCATCTATTTTGTTGAATAATCATAGATTTCAACGCCTTCAAGCTCCATTACTGGAAAGGAAAACCCAACTTTTAAAGAAAAAAGAAGCCTACCAGTTTCGTAGAGATATAGAAGATGAGAAACTATGGATACAAGAGAAGATTCCACTAGCTTCATCAACAGACTGTGGAAATAGTCTCTTTAGTGTACAAATGCTGAAGAAAAAATATCAGGTGAAACAGAAATTTGTCGTTCATTTTGGTTTTGCACTTGATATATATATCAAATACTGTAATTTTGTAAACATTGGGAGTCTTATAAGTTGATATTACAATTTGTGGAATTTGAAAAATTCTGTTAATTGTTAGAGGAATTATATATATATTTTACTATTTCTTTCATTTAAATAGAAAACTTGCCCTATTTCTTTCATCTAGACTGTAAAAATAAAAGATGATACAGGATGTCTGTTTTGTAACAGCCAGCTTTGTTAAGTAATATGACATTATTTTTTATCAATAATATCAAAAAATAGTCATGGTGTGTGTAATGAAAAGTTTAACTGGACAAAAAAACTTGCAACTGTTAATTTTTTGGATGAGAATACAAATCTTTTAATTTTTTTTGCTTTCATAAAGAGGTTGGTAATTAGCACTTTCCTAACTCTTCCTTTCTGTAGTGATTTGATTTACCCTTGATGTTTGTCTTTCGATTTTTGTATAGAATTAGATAATTTTTCCTGTGGTAATCTTTTAGTTGCTTGGTATGGTCAATAGTTAATGTTCATTTGCACAAAGATTTTTTATTGCCTATGCTTCCTTTTATTTCAGTTAATAAAGAGGAATATAATACTTTTTTGTGCTTAACTTCCAGTCACTTCGTACAGAGATAGATAACCATGAGCCAAGGATCATGAATGTATGTGTAAATGGACAGAAACTGATTGAGGAAGGCCATGAAGATGCTGAAGAATTCCAGCAACACATTGATGAGCTTGTAGCTTTATGGCAACAATTAAATGATGCCATGGATGGTCGTAAAAATAAACTTGAAGAATCCGAAAAAGCCCACCAGGTACAGTTGCCGTTTTTGTACAATAAAAGCAACAATGTCTTTAATTACATTATCAGTAAAGAGCAAAAACGTTTACTATATAGAAATCTTCAATAGTTGTAACAATCTTCCGATTATTTTTTATTCTGTTTTGAAAAATGAATAATGTTTTGACATATATTTTTGTTTTTAATACTATTTTTTATGTTTATTCACAACAATTATCAATGTTTCCATATACTTTTGACTGGTAAGTGTTCACATAAACTAAGAGTAGATAGTAATTTTTCTGTTTATTTTCAAAGAATAGTAAACAGTATTTTGATATATTTTTAGTGCATTTGTGGTCAGTAGGTTACAATTATTTTGACCTTTATCAGTCTTCAGTAAAAATACATTTAGTAGATAGGTATAGTAGTGGTTATATTTATCTTTAAAGTGGTTAAGAGTGTTTTGATATGGTAGTGTTTTTCTTTTGGATCATCTTCTGCCTAAAAGAGAATCTATGCTGTTTCTGAAGAAGACCTGATGAAGAACTCGGAACAGAGTTCTAAACATTATCATCTCAACAAAACTTTAGACAAGAGAAGATCCATAAAGATCATCACTCGACCATGACAACAAACTACCAATATAATCCCTGAAATAAGTATTTAAATATGTGTTCAACCTACTTTTGTTTATTCTCATCTACTTTTACAATGTGTCATGTTTTGTTTTTAGTATTATTTTGATGCTTCTGAAGCAGAAGTCTGGATGAGTGAACAGGAGTTGTACATGATGGTAGATGACCGTGGGAAAGATGAAATCAGTGCTCAGAATCTTATGAAAAAACATGAAATTCTGGAGAATGCTGTGGAGGATTATGTAGATATGGTCAAACAATTAGGAGATGTTGTTAAACATCTTGTTGCAGAAAGTCACCCAGAAAGGTATTGCAATATGGAAATATTTTGCAGTTTTGTAAACTCATAGGTTGTCTAAAAGAAGAAAAAATAGATATTTCATAATAGTTTGTCAAGTGTATTATTTATATGTACTACCAAACAAGCCTATATTAATGATAATTTTTTTCCCAGACATTTATAAAAGAGTTCTTGGAAAATGACTGGATGGTTGCAGTCACAAACACTAAGTGACTAGAATGGTGTTTTACATCCTATACTTGTTTGATTAATGGCTAGAGTTGATATAACCTGCAATTAAATAATTATTATCTAAGAACATTTATTAAATTTCATTCCCTAAAGATAATATTATAAGTTATTATTAATATAAGTTCTTATGCAAATCCAAGTAATTTGGTATATTTTTTTGGACTTTAGCTTGAAATAACAAATCCATGATATATATATATATATTTGTGGTATTAAATTAAAGTTAACTTACAAAATGTTGATCTTGTGATGCACTTGGCATTAACAAAATTTTAATTTTTCCATACAATCTATGTGAAAGATAGCAATTGTTCAGCATTAGACTTTTTGTAAAAAAATATGTCTGATGTAAGACCTTTGTGTTTCCAAATAAGTAGAAGATAAACCACACTGCATGTCTGGTTATAACCCCATGGTTGTTTCAGTTTAATATTGTTATTTTTTTATTTATGAATAAAAGTGAAAATGAAATTTTTTTTTTGACCAGTACATATTATATGTTGAAAAAATGTAAGAGTTGTTTAGGTGGTCCTTTAGTTTATTGCTAATTACCTTGTAAATTAATATTTGAATGCTGACTGTACAATGAGAAGTCATGATGTTTAGGCTTAATAATTTATTCAAGAAATATATGTAAGTAAATGTTAAAAGTATGTTTTTGTAGAAATAACTTGAAAGATTCATCTATAGACAAATTTACTATTTTAGATATGTTTAATTTTCCCAACAGTTCACTAAAGGAGCATGCCTGAAATGCAGTTATCAGTTATATTAATTTTATTTTACTGTTATGCTCTTCCAGTGAAGCTGACATAACAAAATGTTGGAAAACTAAAGCATATTTAATATTTTTTTTCTGAAGGTAAGCTTAATAATTTATTGTGACAATGTTTGTTTATTACATCCACTCAAATCTAGAACTTTAATGTTTCTTTATGGATTGAACCACAACCTCTGGTTATTGTTTTGTTTCAAATATACAGTGATCAGCTTACAGTTAGACAGTCTCAGATTGATAAGTTGTATGCTGGGCTTAAAGATCTTGCTTTCGAGAGACGTGGTAAACTGGATGAAGCTCTTAAACTATTTTCTTTGAATCGAGAAGTGGATGACTTAATGCAGTGGATAGCTGAACGAGAAGTAGTAGCAGGATCTCAGGAACTTGGGCAGGATTATAATCATGTTACAGTAAGTTGTAATAGAACATTTTCCAAAATTTAGACAGTGTGACATTTATGTTCCTGTGCCAGGATTTAAGTAGCATGTTTGTATAACTTAAGAAGGATTTTATGGCATGATTTGAAAAGTTTCCTTAAATTTTACTATTTATTTTGGCATAATTGTTTGGCAGAATTAGAAGTGATCCACCTAGCTAATAAACATTTAAGATCTCATCTGTTTTTTAGGGTGCCTTGAAAAGATGCATAAATAGAGCTGAACATAATATACATATTATTAAAATAACCTTGATATATGATGCTTTGTTTATTTTTATAGATTCATATTATTACTCTCAAAACTGAGTTTAGACCTTTGATCCCCAGGAAAGTAAAAGATTAAAGTTTTGTACTTTAGGTGCTCCAAGAACGATTTAAAGCCTTTGCTCAAGATACTGAACATACTGGAACTGAACGAGTAATAGATTTTAACCAGAGTGCTGACAATTTGATCACCTTGGGTCATTCAGATAGTGCCACCATTGCTGAATGGAAGGATAATGTTAATGAAGCTTGGACAGATTTACTGGAGCTCATAGACACTCGAATACAGATGCTAGCCGCTTCCTGGCAACTACATCGATTCTTTCATGATTGCAAGGATGTCTGTGGCCGTATTTTGGTAAAATATTCTTCCAGTCATTTTTACTGTGTAACATCATGAAATCATGATATACATGTTTGGTCTGTCAATAATATTTCATTTTAATAATTTGTGGATGTCATGTAATGTCATTAACCTAATGCTAGTTTTAGCTCATATGTATAAGGTAGAAAAACCAAAACAAACTAGTTATCTAATTTATTTAAATGTTTATACAAGAAGCTATTATTGAAGGTAAACATTTTCTTTGTGTACTATTTTGTAATGTGATATTGTCTTAAACCAGTTTACAACTTATCTGTTGTTGATAAATTTCATCTCATATGATTACAATTATCCAAAACACTGACGTTTTTTAGCTTCTGTTTGTAAAAATATTTAAGAGGTGTTTTATCCCAAAGAGTTTTATTGTTTTATTTGCAGGAGAAACAAAATGCTCTTTCTGATGAGCTTGGAAGAGATGCTGTAGGTGTATTTAACCTGCAGAGAAAACATGCAAACTTTGAAAATGATCTACAAACTCTTGAAATAGCTGTAAGTAGATTTCTGGTCTTTCTATCAAGCTCTTATTATGATAATCATTAATAGCTTAAACAATCTTTACCAATGATACATGGGTTAAGGAGATGCTTATTACTTTATCCCTTGATTAATTTCTCTTCAGAAAGTTTATAACATTCTCTAATTTTGAAAGATAGGTTACCACTTGTAGTATTGTGTAAGTATTTGTGTCCATTATATAAACTCAGAAAGGTGCATTTTTAACAATTTTTGATCAAAACAAAATGGAATCAACACTGTGTGAAAAAATTGTAATTAATTTATTATTATAGGTAACACAAATCAAGGATGACTCAGAAGAGTTACAAATATCTTATGCCGGAGAAAAAGCTCAGGAGATTATTGGACGAGAAACTGAGGTTGTCAGTGCTTGGCAGAATTTACTTACAATGTGCCAGAACCGACGTGTGAAGTTAGAAGAAACTGGAGATCTCTTCCGTTTCCTTAACATGGCAAGAGATCTGATGCTGTGGATGGAAGATGTTGTGAGGCAGATGAGCACTACTGAAAAACCAAGGTAAATAACAAAATGTATGCTTTGTGTCTGTTTAATGATATGAATTTTTTAACTATAAAGTGCAATATTGTTGTACGAGTTGATGGTGAATGATCTAATTTAGTACATAACTCTAGCTAAAAACAAAAATATTGAAAAGCAGTGACAATAACATGTGGATGAATAAATTGTATATATACAAAAAAGAAACAAGGATGCCACTTCACTTTAAAAATTTGATTTACTATTTCCTTTGTTTCTCATTTTATAAACATTCTAACCATGTTAGTTAGAGATATTCTTACTCCTTGTATAATTATGAACCAATTAATATTTTCTAAATGTTAATAGGCCCATCATTTATTGCCATTTCACACTGGTAAGTTAGTTTTTTGTGTGCATATTTTCCTTTTTATACCATTTTTTCTATTTAACATGGAGATGGAATAGAAAGGTTTTTAAATATTTTAAATTACAGGTAAATCAGATTTGATTAACAGGTGGGATCCTTCTCCACCTACTAGTGCTTTGTATATGTACTTTTTTTGTTCAGCACTTACAAAACAATGTGTTTAAGAAGTTTCTAAATCTCAGAAATAAATCATTCTTAACTTATATACATAATTAAGAATGTCATATTTATGTATAAAGTTCATTCTTGATCTTCTCAATAATGTATTTTGTATATATAATGTTTTCCCTACATGATAGGTTTTAGCAATGCTGAGGATTGATGGGCAATTAAATAATAGCAGAATTTTTATTAACAGTTGTGTTTGGTAAAAATGTAGATGTTTGTAAAACTTTATGTATATTTCTAGAACAACAGTCTTTTGTTATTTTATATAAATAATTAATTATGAAATTGTTTGCCAGTCTACAAACATGAAAACTTTGACACTTAAACTTTGCATAAAACAAAAACATTATTATGCTTACAGTTTATTGATGTGCCTGGAATTAAAACTTGTTTTGTGAAATTGGTTTCTTAATAAATCAGTATCAGAATAAACTCTACACCTAAGGAGGTATAAAACTATTCCAAAAATAATGTTTGTTATGTAAATATCACAGTGAGTATAGGAAAATGGGAAAATCAAAGAAATATATTTTGTATAAAAAATATACAAGTTACAATTTTAATTAATTGATTAAAAATGTTTTCAACACTGTTACTAAGTGAATTTATTTTGTTGAGTTTTGACCTTAGGCCCACTTCAGGCAATAATCTAACTACAACTCATTGCCTAAAATGTGGCCTGATGCCCACTTTAGGTTATTAGTTGTAGAAAACATTTGTATTCAATTAATTAAGAAGTTAACTTGTTAATTTATTTAAATATTTTCCACTAATCAAAGAAAGTGCTGTTTTTATATTAACTAATGTTAATATTGTTCAGTTGTCTAAAAAAAAAACTTATTTCAAAAGTTTAAATTATTTGTTTGATAATGAGCAAGAAAATAATTTAGTTCATTCATTAATAATAACATGATTATAAATTTAATCCTACATTTAGTTCTACCAATGAGAATAAAGATTTTATATTAGTTATCATTATATTTACTATTTATGCAATAATGTGATTATTTTATTACTTTCATATCTTCTTAAAACAAAAAACAAAACAGAAATTGTGCAGAAATCTATGATTATTATGTATAACAAGTTGTAGTTTTGTGTAATTTTGTCCTTATTATTTTTTTTACTTGCATTTACAGACTTATGTTACTAAGTAATTATTTTAATATTATTATTGTTATTACAGAGATGTATCAGGTGTAGAGTTATTGATGAATAATCACCAGAGCTTGAAAGCTGAGATAGATGCCAGAGAAGACAACTTGTCTGTCTGTATAAGTCTGGGAAAAGAGCTAGTAATTAGAAGTCACTATGCATCCACTGAAGTAAGTGAATGAAATATAGATGTAATCATTCTGTTTATAGTTACTGATATTTTTATTTATTTATGATGAGATTTATTGAATTTTACCATATTTTTATTTTCCACTTGTTAATTGCTCCCTGTTTGGAATTTCACTTGGATATTAAAAAGTGAATTCATGTTTAAAACATATTTGGTGTCTATATAGTTAACTTAGACTTGTCTTTAACTGAGATTTTTCAAACTGTTTGACAAGTGAATAAATTATTTCAAAGATCCAAACAGTGATGAGATGGTTAAGAAATATAGCTTCAACACCAAGCTAAATACATTATTTGTAATACATTTCAGTAAAAATGACAATTTGAATTCATGAATTAAACATAAGTCAGTCATAAGTATGCATTTTGATTCAAGAGCCAAGTTTTAGTGCTATCATTATTGTTTTTGTAATCATAAAGCATTCACATTTTTCAGTAAGTAATTGTTACAACTTAAATACGTGTTTTACAGTTTTTGTTTGCTAAATATTTGTAGTGTCTTTGTAGATGCCTAATAAGACAGTTAAGCAGTATAATTTAAGATTCAAAAATACAATAACAGCAACTTTTACAATGGACAAGCTTTGATTTTTAATGATTACAACATTTTTGACTTACAGTATTGAGTCATCATCAGGCAGGGCTTTTTTTAAGCACTTTGTAGTAGTGGGCCATATTAAAAAAAGGGCATATATACATATATTTATTTAGGCTCAATTATGACAAAAATTTTAAAACTACCATAATGGCATGAAGAAATGAAAGAAACACTTTATTGAAGATGTTAAAATCATGAGTATATTTTATAGAATACTTAGAGTAGTTTAAAATGATCCACCTGTGAAAAATGTAGCAGCAAATGCTCTTCCTCGATAGGCTTCAGTTGGCTCCTGATATCTGCAATCCTTCTTGAAAAATTCTGCCACTGTCAATTGTGGGTTATATTCTGAAATGCTGCAACCATTGAATGACACAATCAAGCATGCATTCATTGTCGACTCTTTCATGCTTAATTTTTTATCATCATATATGATGTGATGTGAACCAAACTTGCTCTGTTTGCATACTGTGTGGAGACAGTGTTACCATTGCTGCTAGGGTCTTTTGCACAATTTTTGCTGTTGCACAAACTGACAAAAGTCTCCTTAGCATAATTTGACAGACCTGCACCAGAATCACTTCCTGGAGGGAGAGGTGTTTCTAAGATGTTGGAAATATCTGTCCGTGCTTCACAGACTTGTTCGGCAAAGTCACCAGATTCCCCTGGAAACAATTCTGCAATGAGAGCTGTGTCACTATCTACAAATTGTTCACAAGTATCACTGGGAAGGAGACTTTTCATTTGTTTTATGGCTCCTCCTTGATTCACAGCCAAGTGCTGATAAAGAAAGTTTTTTTGCACTCAACACAATTTAATAATGAATAGCTTGTTTATCATGCTGGCTAGTTGAAACTTGCTTATTTGCAGTCTTTCTTTTGTAAGATCCCTGACCATCACCACCAGCAGTTTCATTTTGTACCTGCACCAATTTTGTTTCTCGCTTACCTGTGAAAGGTAAGCTTGTGAAGAGTATCATCAGTTCTTTGATGGTCTGAAGTATATTTCAATGCTGATTAATTTGGTTTTTCCATACTTTCAACTCCGGAACACTGGAAATGACTTGCTCTATTGCTAAATCTGATTTGTATGTACAGCATCAGGATGTCAATAAATTTCTTTCAAAGGATAATATTCTTTTGAGTCCACCATTTTTTACCATGTTGGCACTTTCTCCATCAGTTGTTACTCCAGCTAGCTTTGCTGTATCAATATCTAACTCACCAAATACATAGAGAAGATATTCAAGTAAACCATCAGTGCCACATGCATCTGAAGCATGCACACCAAGGAATAATGTTTTCAACTCCAACTTCTTTGTCAGAATTTTATAACTGATGAAATTGTTGTCTTCCATTTTATTAGAAACACTACCATCAATTTGCATGCTAAACATTATTGCATCATTCAGTTTCTTACTCAGAATTTTTTGTTCAATGTTCGTATTGCAATCCAACTGTGAACTGGATCTCTGCAGTGAAGGTCTCCTGCAGATGGTTGAAAAGATGGAACAATAGTATCCAAGCTATGATCTTTCATGACAGAAATGAGATGGTTTGTTGCAATATTGGTGAGATATCTTGCAGGCCACAAAAAAGCTGTAGGTGTTTCTAGCATACTGTCAAAGTATGCATCAAAAGCCAGTCGAATTAGAATCTGTAATTTGTGTTGAATGCCAGCTCAAGATATTAATCCATGGATGAGTTGTGGAGCCTTTGTTCCAAGATTATTTAATGTTGAAATGCTCTTCAATCTTTCTATGAACCTCAGAATTCCACAACCATTTTCAACCAATTTTTTTTTATTCCACCCAAATTACATTAGCAATTAAAACTTTACCATATGTAGAATGTCGTTTTGCGATGTATTTGTAGTCATTGTAAATTAAACACTTAATAAATGGCCTATTTCTGTTGTTTTCTTTTATTTTGTATAGCTTCAAACTGTCATTCTTTGAGAGAAGGTAAGCTACTTCAAGTTTCATACCAGAGTACCATTTGATACAGGAAGGGTAGTACTTGTCATAGTTGAAGGAGGTGTGGCCACACTAGTTGTCACAGTCACAGGAAAGGCTAACATACCAGTTGCAAGAGTGATGGCTATATTGGTAGTCATGGTGGTCAAGGCAGTAGCAGTACTGGCAGAGATTCTAGCCACTGTCTTTTTAGTTTTTCATGTCCATTTAGTAATTGTCTTTTTTTTAGGCATTTTTAGCCAACTCGTTACTTTTGCATTTGCGATTTCTTTCACTAATGAGCACTTCTAAAATGAAAAAAACCATTGAATTTAAAAGTACGATTTTTTTTATTCATAACAATAAAGCAATGCAACAATAATGTAAATTTTAAACATAAGTATCCTACAAATTTGAAAAGAGATTGTGATGAATTGAACATATAATAATTATATAAAAGACATTTATGCATCCACTGTTAGAATATGCAGTTCAAATGTGGTCCCCTTACCTAACCCTTGGCTACACACAGAGACTGCTATGTTATTATTTTGATAGGCAATTAGAAACTAGTTTGAGGCATTTTTACTTATAACAACCTACACACATATTGGAAGATAAAAAAAAATAAATAATAATAATAAAAATTTACTCCACATATTAATTTTATAATTAATATGCATATAATTTACATACAAAGATGCCATTTACAATTTTTTACTGTTTATTTGTATAATATTCTCAAAAATAGGATAAAATTGCACATAATAATTTAATCTTTCATTTCATATCAAATTTAGCCGATAAAATAAGAACCAATCAAATTTGTAATAAAAAAAGTTACCTCAAACTATGCCAATTGTACAAGATATTACTAATATTAGACTCTTAGCCTAATGTATGCTAGGCCTACGTTGGTGTTATTTCTAAGAATGTTAAAGTATAATATGACTAATCATTTTGTGTATTCCCAAAAATATAAATATACACTGTCTGAAAGTTAATTTTAACTTCTTTAAATATTTTGATATCTTTTTGACAGTCTGTGAACTATTTTTTTTATTGTTGCAATTTCTCAATTCTCTTTATTATGGCTCCTAGAAGGTCCTTGAATTGAACTCAACTGAGTTGAAGTTTGCTTACCAAAACTGCCTGGCAAAATAAAATCTGCGAGAGGTGAAGTGCTCTCTAAACTGCCAGCAAAAAGCACACACCATAGAACAGTAAAACAATCATACATGTAGCACTAAGCATTACTGAGATATAGAATGTTGAATGTTCTCTAATTTTTGACTAAAATAATTACAATGTCAGCAGTCTTTTTTCTCAAAGTACAGCTCTCTTTTCTTTTCTAGACACTTATTCTGTTGTTAGTGACTAGTGGGCCAAATGGTCCATCACTATAGATGTCATTAGGTAAATGTTAAATAAAATTTTCTTTTGAAATTTAACTTTTACCTGATTATGTACTGATATGTTTTTGTCATTAAAATCAGAACTTGTCTACTGTAAAAGTTGCTGTCATTGTATTTTTGAATTGATTAAACGACAAGTTATTATCGTTTTTAAAATATTATAAATTTGTTAATGGGAAAAAAAAACTTTGGTTTTGAAGAATTATTTTTTATTTATTTATTGCAACATATATTGGTGTGAATGGGTATTTAATCTGCCTATGATCCTAAATTTGTCTTGATAAATAACAAGATAGTCAATTAGAAAAGGATTAAACATTCATATCTAATAGATTAATTGTATTTTTAAATTATCTAGATAAGTTTTTATACTATTATATCAATGGCTAGGCATAGTTATTTTACATCAAACTATGTATATATGTTGTTAATTCATATAATTTCTTGCATGCCCACAGATTAAAGAAAAACTGTTGTTCTTAACAAACCAGAGAAACACAATGATGGAGAGGTGGGAGGAAAGATGGGAACACTTGCAGCTAAGTAAAAGAGATTTCTTTTTTGACTATAACACTTAATTTTCTCTAATATAAATAGTAGTCAATTTTCAAATGCAAAAGTTTTTTGTTTAAGGGAACAAATGGATCTTGTGTAAATTCTGAAACTACTTTATCAAATCATATTCTTGTGATAATTATTGGGATGTGTAATAAATCTTTTATGGTCATCAAAGTAATTTGCTGAGTCTTTACTTTGTATTTACTGCTTACTACTGAGTTCTGCAATTCATTAATCATAAGTTGATGTAATATTTAAACACACTTTACAAATTCTTTGGAATTTTTGATGTTATATTAATCTCTCAATACCCAGAAATTGATGGTTTTTTTATATGTATTTTCCTTGTAGTCTTGGAAGTTTATCAGTTTGCTAGAGATGCAGCTATTGCAGAATCTTGGCTAGTGGCTCAAGAACCATATCTTCTTAGCCAAGAATTAGGTGTAAGTTCAATGGTTTAAAATGAAGAGATGATGTACTTATTAATTCTTGAAAGTGTGGCTATCCATAGTGTATTATTTCTATATAGAACGTTTTGTAGAGTGAGGTTTATTTTATTCAAACTTATCTTTCATTAATTATTTTGCTTATATTCCAGGCCAGTTTTATCACAATAAGGCTCTTTCATACTATTAGTGGATTTCAAATATGTTTGGCATTGTTTATGATAAATTTATTTTATTGTGAAGAAGATCAACATATAAAACTACATTCACTGTGAAATGCATGATTGTTTCTTTAAACTTAAAACTATTTATTTTCTTATCATAAGGTCTTCTTGAGAAAGTGAAATTAACTCAAGTTTTTAAATGTAAAATTATTTTTTTATTTTCTACTGCATAAAATGATGTTAGCAAAAGGAGAACTTAAATATATTTCAAAAGTACTTATTTCTTTATGAAAATTATTTTTTACATCATTGTATTTAGTTTTTATTGTGAATTTGTTATTTGATTTTATTTCAATGTGAAGAGCAAAACAAAAAGATGATAAATGATTGAAACCTTTGTAAGTCCAGGCTCTTAGCTAAAGATTTGATCAATATATTTATTTATCTGTTTTGTGTGATTATTTGTTTTCAGTGCCCTCTAAACGGTTAATGTATTAGAGCTAAACAAACAAGATTATTTGGAATGAAATACTATTGTTCATTATAAATTAGGAGAAAAAATTAAGAGTATTAAGAGATGAGTATTTCACTGGGTGATTAAAGTTAGTATGGTGATCAGCTTCACAGCGGAATTGTTTGTTAAGCAATTAAAACTTTGATATTTCAGCCCATACATTTCCCAAAGATGGGCTGAAGCTTCAAAGTTTTAGCTGTTTAGAAAAACTCATTTCCAATGTAAAGATGACCATGATATTAAACGAAGAGTTTGTTTTTCTTAAAGCATTTGAACTTAGCATCACTGTCTGTTAGATATGAATTATTTTTACATTTTTATAGATTATAACTAAAAATTGCATCTTTTTTTTTACATATGTCAGTTTTGTTGTTACTGTATAGACCAACATTGAAAGGAAAATTGTCATTTCTTGTTTGAGTACTTCAATCTATTTGTAAGTACTTATTCGGTTTAATTTAAGAACATTTTGTCACCAATTTACACCAATACATAGAACAGTAAGACATTTAAAGTATGGAGAGAGTACTAATACTTTTAGGCAGCTATTGACCTTATTCAAATTGTCAACAAGAATAGCATAATTAGTGTTGAATTTCTTTATGTTGTATTTAAGTTTTAACTCCCATATGATAAAGAAAGCATTTTGTTAAAAAGCTGCCAACTTTCTGTGATGATGAATTTTATAAACATAACAGTGATAGAGAATGATGCAATTAAAAAATGGTATGACAACATGGAGACATCAGAAAGGGAGAAGAATGTGTACAGAATAGATAAGCAAAGGGAAATGGCAAAGAGAGATGTTACAGTGATCAAAGTAATAAAAGATAAAGAAAGGAACCTCCTGATGAAGAAAAAGGTAGTAAAACAGAGATGGAAACAGTACCACAAGGAACTACTTAACACCAAAAATGAGACAGAAGAATTGAAGGAGACACTGCCAATAGAAGGGTCATTGTTGGATGTAAGTAGAGCAGAGGTAAATGTAGTGATCAGAAAAATGAAAGTAGGTAAGGTGGAAGGTCCATCAGAAACTGAGATGGTCAAGGCACTAAGAGATAATGGAGTTGGGTATGTATGTTGAAGAACATTTGGAGGGAAGAGTGGATACCTTACAGAAAGGAAAGAAAGCCTATTGATACTCATCTACAAGCAAAAAGGAGATGCTGTTGAGTTTGAAAACTATAGAAGAATAAAACTGGTGGAGCATCTGCTGAAAATGAAAGAAAAAATATTAGAAAAGAGAATAAGGGAAGTCGTAGACATCAACGAATAGATACAATCTTCATTCTGTGACAGTTGCAGTAGAAGTACCTTGAAGGAAAGAAGTTATACCATATATTTGTAGATTTGGAGAAAGTTTGTGTCAGGCTTCCACGAGAATTAGTATATTGGTGCTTCTGAAAGAAAGGAGTGCCTGTAAAAGTTGACCAGACTAGTGAGAGCTACAACAGTTGTGAAGATGGATATGAAGATATGGACAAGTATTAAGTAAACAGTGGGCTGCACCAAGGATCAGCCATTAGCACCCTGCTGTTCATCATTGTCATCAACGTCTTGAGTAAGGAGTGCTGTAACTTGTCCTAACTGCTGAAAGTGAACAGGAGTTACAATTGCAAATTAAAGTGTGGCAGAAGAGTGTAGAAAGAAGAGGCTCAAAAGTGAATGCCAGGAAAATGGAAGTCATGGTGAGTGGAAGAGGTAGGAAGAAGAAGGTTAAGAGCACATAAACGGGAAGCGATTGGAATAGGTAGAAGACTTCAGGTACTTGGGAAGTTCAATCTAAAGTTAATATGCTGTAAGATATTAATTCCAGGAGGGTTGGAGGAAATGGAAGTAAGTAGCCACAGTCAAGCCACAAAAGGGTACCAAGGATACTGAGAGCCAAAGTGTATAAGACTGTGATCAGACTGGTGCTCCTCTACAGAACCAAGATCTGGACCCTGAAGAAAAAAGAAAAAGGCTTGTTGTTAAGAGCAGAAATGAGAATGCTGATATGGCTGTTGGGAGTGTTGCTGAAAGAGAAGAAAACTAATAAGGAAATTAAGGAAATGGCAGGAGTCTGTTGAATAGAGGAAAAGGCAAAAGAAATGAGGCTGAGGTGGTTTGGTCACGTGAAGAGAAAAAGAACAAGCAATAAGGAGAGCATTAGAGCTGCTAGTAGCCAGAGAAAGAAAACAAGGAAGGCCAGTAAAGCATTGGAAGGATGGGATTAAAGAGAACATAAATGAGAAAGGAATTGTAGAAGATCTGGCAATGACTAAAGATGATTGGAGCCAAAGAAGAATATGAATTTTAGAAACAACAATATCCATGAAATCTTGTTCAGATGTTTTGATTAATAGGCAAGTATTAAGATTTTATTATCTAGTCTAGATGCTTTGTCTAATGGCTCAGCATTTTATTACAGATGACAAGTGATGAAGTTGAGCAGCTAATAAAAAAGCACGAGTCATTTGAAAAATCAGCAGCAGCACAAGAGGAAAGATTTGCAGCTTTGGAGAGGTTAACAACAGTAAGTTAATGCTCAGCTGTACTAACATCATGTGCTGGTATTATATTAAACATTATTATAAGCTCAAATGTAGCTGGAATTGAAATTAAATAAATATTTAGAAATTTTAATTACAAATTATATCATACTTTACATTCTGAAACTTTAAAACTTTTACAACTTGTGATTAATATACCATTTTTTTTCTTTTTTTCATGTCTCTAAAGGATCAGTTTCGTTATCTTAGTTTTATAAGAACTTCTAAATTATTGCAAATCTTTATTTGAAATTACCTTTTGTACAAACTTGAATTAAGAGAACAAGAGCACAACATTATAAACCAAGTGGAACACTGTTGAGCTCACTTTGCTCTGTATGATCATGTGTCCTCGGGCTAGTATGAATTGGGGAAGTTTTAATAATTAAAACAAGCAATGCATGTCTCATTGTATGCTTTACTGTGGTATGAAGTTAAAAAAATAAACACACTAACAAATTAGAATCCATAAAACAAAGTAATTTCTAATTTATTTTTAATTGCATGTCAGGGTGTGTTTGAAGAAAATTTTTGTATATATGAATTTGAAGTTCAACTTATAGTTGTTGTTTTTATATTGTGTGAATAGTAGTTTTTGAGAACAAATGAAAACAAATAAAGATTTTAATGTAGCTGATAATCAATAAATGCACAAGTTGAATGTTTAATTTTTTTAAGGATAATATATACCCATAAATTTAGATGTAAATTGTACAAGTATTGTACAATCACAGTAATTGCAACAGAGACAGTTCCTATGAAGTTTCAAGACTAAGATTCTAGTTTAAAACCCAGCTTCACTATTTAAGGTGTGTTAATATGTTCAGTCTGTGTGAAAACTTTAATGCAATGTTATAACCATTGCACAACCTTATTAATAATTTAAAAGTATTAAAAACAAAATTAAGATATATACAAAGACCCAAAGAGATAGTTGAAATTTTTTCATGACCTAGGGCTGGGCATGACCTCTAATGGTTAGTATGCTGTCTGCAAATCCATATGTTCATGTCCAATTGCAGTAAAATCATGTTCCACACTTAGGGAGCCATTGTCATTTTGGAAGGATGACAGTCAAGTCTAATTATTTGATTAGAGTAGCACAAGAGTTTGCAGTCAATGCTATTGACTATCTGCCTTCCGTCCAGTCTTTCAGCTCACATAGCCATTATTTTGCTTTGTGTGAACAAACAAATGGGCAGAATGTCCTATAAAATCCTAATAATTTGACTTTATTTTCATTTCTTCACATGAAAAACATTAACTCTTTTGTAATGAGGCACCTCCTTTAAACACTTTTCCTCACAAGTCACTGTGTTACATTCAAAACTTAATTGAGCTATAAAAATTCTCTACTTTGGCTCTCTGTAGCTTCAATAATACAATGGTAGTTCAGTAGAGGTACATCCAGACAACAAGATGCTTACATAACCTTTTGACTCATACATTTCAAAGTTTTCTGAATGAGTACAGTTAAAACAAGTAATAGATTTTTTCAATCCCTGACAGGTGCCACACCCACCTTCAACAAATTTGAGTTTTATAGCCTACATGTAGATATTACATACCCATGTGTATCGTTATTAGAAAGAGCTTATTTTAAACTATAAACTAACAATGGTTATTTTGCAATTGGCACCAGTTGACATCACAAAGTACATGGAACTGACTGTAGTATTGTTAGCTGCTTGATCGACTATAGGACTTATGGTTGTTTGTTACTTAAATGTGTTATAGTTAGAGATACAGTTTAAACTGTATTTAGGTCTTACTATTAAAATTTAGTTAAATATATATTAGTTATGTTTTAAAATGCATAATTAAAAGGTTTAAACATGTTTTAAATATACATCATACTTTGCATCTGTTTTCAAGGCTTACAATATTACACACTGAATGAAAATTTTGCTGACTGGTTTCACATGTCTCCTAAAGACACTGTAATATGCCTCGAGGTCACTGTTGTCTTGTGTTGAGATGAATAATAAATGGTAAAGGACAAGGAAGGAAAATGAAATATTAAAAAAGTAACTATATGTGAAAAGAAAAATCTTTAAAGATATTTTACAAAAAATTAAAAAGAATGTACTTTTTCTATATTTCCTAGTTTAATCATTTTATTGCATCGTATGTTGGTGATAATAGCTAGAGTTAGAAATATGGTAGAGAAAATGAAAAAAAACAAATCTTAACATTTACCTTGAAAAACTATACGATAGAGAAAAGTATTTTCATAATTAAATTGAAAATCACCTTGCACTCAAACTGTGAATAGTTTGAGTGCAAATAACTGATATAGATAAATAACATTTTTATTAGAAAGACATAATTGATATAATGTCATTCTTTGTGTACAAGATAATCTTACCAGTTTTTGTGAGGAACACACACAGTTACCATATTTTTGTTGCATAATTGTTTTTCCCTAGTCGAGTGGATGGTAATCACATCTGCCCATGCTGAAAGGGTTAATAATCTTTGTTTCTAATGCTACTATAATTTTCACATCATTGGTTTTCAAAGAAAGTTGCTTTATTAATATTAAATTAGAACTGATTTTTATAAGTATAAGAAAATCTAAATGCCATTTCTATTATCAGTAAAATTTACACATAATTAAAATGTATTGCATACTTTAAGAATCATGTTTTTCATGGCATCTCATATTATTTAATAGTTTGAAAATACAGAGAGAGAACCAACGGAGGGACTATCATTGAAGCTATTGATAAATATTCTGGATTAGTTATGTAAAGAGACCCAAAATAAAGCCTCTTGCTGAAGGGGATGTAAGATGTTATGTATTTGCTGCTTGAAAAGAGAAAGATAACATATTTTTGCACTATTATGAAATTTTTTAAACATTATTTCAGAGAACAGAAATAAGAAAACTGAAAACATTGTTATGGTTTCCTTTTTCTTTTAATTAAAAGAACTGTAAGAGGAAATTGTTCTTGAATTTTTGGAATTTATTTGAAGAGACGTATGAGAGTTTTCTCTATGTTTTCTTTATTGCTTAAAAGACAAAAAAACTGTAAGAGACCGAAAAGCATATTTCATAGCATGTATCTCTTATCCCCCTTCTGAAAAGAGTTTCTAACTGAATTTTTCAACTTTTTGTTGTTTTCTGTATTGAAAGTTAATATTTATTCTTGACATAAAATAAGCGTCATTGTGTTGCTTTAATATAGTGCCATTACTATAGATCCATTAGTTAGATCTTTTGATTGGTTATTATTTGGTTAGCTAATCTAAGCTATTGTTAATAATATTTCTAAAATAAGCTACTTTAAAAGTGTATTGTTTTTATTTTGGCATGATTTGACTAACAAATAATCTTTACACAACTGTTAATTATTAACATTGTTGGCCTCCCTAGAAAAAGAAGTTTTTAGCACCAAATATTTAGACCATATTTATTTTCCAATCACTGTTTGGATACAGTTCTTACTAGATATTAGTATTTTACAGTTATCCTTGTAGTTTTTGATAAAGAATTCTTTTAATCAAATATATCTATATACCTAAGATGAAACTTTAAGTTTAGACAAAATATAATTTTTGTACTATTTCACTCAGATTAATTAACTTTGAAATTGTAAATTTTTTATTTGTTTTTATATTTAGTGTTAACTTTAAAAAAATAGTGTTTTAAAATTTTTAGTTTTGTATTAATGTACATCTGAACAAGTGAAAATTCTTAAAAGCTCTTGTTTTTGTATTTTAATTTAATTGAAATAAGATTTTCAAAGGAAGCATTGGTTCTTGAAACACAGTTGGATATTGCTGTATTTAAGTTTAATAAATAGCTATCAACTAAGGTGTTCAGTTTCTTTGTTATGCATGCTTTTTAAATGTTCAGTATTCATAATGATACCATTTCATTACAGTTTGAACTAAAAGAACAAAAAAGAAGAGAAGAAGAGGAGGAAAAAGAGGCTGAAAGGAAGAGACAAGAGGAACTGGCAAAACAAATAGTTCAGGAACCTGAACCAGTTGTAGATGAACCAAAAGCTGTTGCTGAAAAGTAAGACATCCAACAATACTTATGACTAAAGCTGAGCACCACTTGGAGAATTTTTTTCTAAAACCAATCAAAGAAAAATTGCCAAAACATTTATTCTGATATGGTACATTATCTCTACTCAATGTTGCCCTCTATATACAAAATTTTTTTTGCATGCCACAAGCCCTGCAATCCCACAATTATCATGATCCACTGCATCTTGCATGCAAATCATCATGCGACAACCCTCCATCAATAGGAGTGTGACACAATCTCCTGATGCATTTGAGCTTCACAACAATGACAACAAAACAAACTCAATTAATTTCTTTTGTAATGGCTTGTTTTTGTTTTTTTCATATTTTGCAGCTTTATATTTTTGGTTGCCAATGATTGTTTTCATATAAATTTAAAAAGGTATGTAGATCAGTATCTGTTTTCAAAACCCATTGGCCATTATGGCTTTGGCCAATGTTTGAATTAATCATTGTTATTCATCGTATATTTGACTAAACATTTTGTAAATATACATATTTAAACTTGATGTTGACTCTAAGTTTATGGTAGTTACAATGAAGTTTTCTTAGTGTAAGAAATTGAATATATAATTATATATAAAGATGAAATGTGTGTTTGTTTGCACCTTAACTCCTCCGAGCCTATTGGGCCAATCTCAATTAAAATTTGTATGTAAACACTGAATTAGGGAATGTCCTAGTGTTAAGTTCAATTTTGACCCCCTTATTTCTATTCTGTAAAGTCTGTTGGTTAATTACTCCCAGCCTATTGAGATAGTTTCAAACAATATTGGCAGGTTGATGCTTTAGACAATGATGAATATTCTAAAGGGATTCAACGTCAAAGTATGAAAGATTGTTTCTCAAACCACCATGCTTTTCTCATCGTCAATGAGATGTAGGGTGTTCAAGGATGGAATCACCTCAAAATCTTTATTTTTATATATATTTATTAAGTGTGTGCCAAGTGTTTCAGGTTGTTTTTACTTGAGAAGATGAAATACATAATCTGTAGTAAGTTACAGTAATAAACCAAATGTGATTTATCTGGAAAGAAGGTTAAGGCATGTTTTATAGATTTTGTAGTAAGTTTTATGCTGATATGTAATTTTTGCAGGGAAGAAGTTGAGGAGCCACCTGTGGAAAAGAAAGAAAAGGATATCAGTGAGGAACAGGAACCAGTTGTAGAGGAAGCCCCAGAAGGTAGGTTGTGTAGCTTCTAACACCAAGCAGTTACTGTTTTAGAGGTCTTAAGTTTAATACAACTAATCCACTTATCTAGGTGTATGCATAAAAGATATAAAAGAATTATTCTTTCAAAATCATAAATTGTTAGTATAAGCAAATGATTTAAAATGTTGAAATATTATCCAATTTTGTTTTATCATTTTCATTTGAATTGTACTAATATGGAATAAAGAAAAGAATCATTAAAAATAGTCTCTAAGCAAACAAAAAAGTAAATTTTTACACCTAGTTTGACCTTGCATTGTTTTATCAGATCACCAAATGAAACTGTTAGAACATATCACCTTTTTAATTACTGAGACAGAAAGCTATAGTAATTGATGTAATAGTAATTTTAAAATTGCAGCCTTTTAAACATATTTTTCTAAAGCACTTATGTACCAGTTGAATTTCTTGTGGGTCAATGTATTTGTTAGTTACAGGGTACATAATAATTAGTTGGAGTATTGATGGTGTTTTTGTTTGACTTCTGTTGTTAGGAGCAGTGTAATCAATGTAAAATAACTGATCCCATTTCAATGCAAAGGACAATTCAAATAAAATATATCTTGGTAAGATTCCCAACCTGATTCAAGACCCAATGTTGTTTACACTTATTCAACATATCAAGTAATCAATACCACAGTGAATTCAAATACATGTAAAAAGTTACACAAGTATCAGCTGTACATTTATATAATTAGATGTATCAAATTATTTTTAAAAAAACCTAACACGATCTAACAAAACAAAAAGTATATGTGAAAGTTTACCATATTGTTTGTCTAACATAAGATGCATTGCTGAGAAAAGAGAAACTGAGACATAGCTTGACTAGTAGTAGCATGAATAAGATTAAGACATTTGGTCAGTAATCTTACTTGTTTTAAATTTACTTTTTGAAATGTTTTAGCATGCCTTTGATCAAATTATGCTTAAAAATGTAAGATTGTCAGTATTTTTTAAACATTTTTTTTCTTGTGCTTCTCATATAACAATCATTTTTGGACCTGTAAGGTATGATAGATTTAAATCCTGTGTAATACCCTATTCATTATTACTTTAAATTCTTACCCTGCAGCAAAAGTAACTTTAAGCAAAAGCACTGTATAATAGTGAATAAAAAGAGCTTTCATCTTGTATAATTAGTTTTTATGTCTTTAACTTAACTTTTTAATTGAGTAAAAGTGTAAATGCATACTTAAAGGAACACTGCATTCTTTTCTTGTATCTTATGAAGAAGACACAAAAATGTACATATTTTACATTTTGAATAAAATTGATTTTTTTTTCAGTAAAATAAGGTAACAGTGAAACTTGTTTTTGCTGGATACTTTATTTTTTTATATTTGTCATGTATGTATTTATGTCTTTTGTGCTGAAGTCAGCATTAACATAAGCTCAGCTTGGATTTCCAGATGGCTGTGTGCTAAACGTTTTTTTCTCTGGTGTGAGGTTCTGATAATATCGTATCGTAGGGTCTTTTCTTTGTATTTGTCACCTATCATTTAGGATTGGACTGTTCTCATCAACTTTTTTCTGGTTAACTTTCTGTTGGTATTGGGTTTCATACTACTAGTTAACAATGCTGTGACTCAGGTAAGCTCATCTAACAATTTTGTTTTTGGCTCTATTTTCTGCATGTTCTTTCTTGAAAATCTCTTGCATGACTCCCTTAAGTACTAACTATCCAAACATTATTTGTGTTAAGTAAACTGACAGTTCCCTGTACTACACAGCTGTGACAGAGGCACCTCCTCAGGTTATTACAGAGTCTCAATCTGCTCCAAGTAGTAAGTAATTCTTTATTTCTTGAGAAGTATAAGATAGTAATTTGTTTTATTTCTTATAGGTCTTTCTCATTACTAGAGAAACTTAAATGTAATTACATTAAATAACAAACTTGTACACTTGATAAAGTTTACCAATTAGATGCAGTAAATTAGCCATTAACATTCAGTGTTAAAAGTAAAGAAAATATACAATGTATAATAGAATATTAAAATTAAAGTGTGGGATAGAAGGGAAAGAAGAGTAGAATATTCTAAGAACAAAAAGTACTACAACAAATAAATAATAAAGTACTATGAGAAAATACTGTTGTCCTTTGAAAATTTCTATGAAACTAAAGACATTAGTACTTGTGCTTCATTACTAAGTAAGTGTGGCATGGTACAGTTGTCAATTAATCTAACTTAGTTTGCACACGTTTTGTCATAAACTTTGTGTAAAGAAATGTAACAAAATCCAGGAAATTAATTAATCATAAAGAATGTATTCTTTAATAAAAATCTTGCCAGTTTACTGCTCTAATTTTGTAATGATTGGATTTTTTCTCATGCATATCATGAGAACGTTTTTGTTCAAAAGTATATAATCTGATAGTTTTTAATGTATATTTTTCTAAGTTATAATGAAACTTTGTAGGAAATAGAAAACAGTGTCAACTTTCATATGAATAAATACTTAGTGTACAAAGTTAAAAATACTATGTTAAAAAATGAACAAATTATGTTTTTATCAGTATCTGTTTTGGTGACTTTTATGTTTTTCTGTCTGTTTTGGCTTCATCATATCTAAACCTTTTTTTTTATCCCTTTTACTTGAATGGTTACATTCATACACCCTGCATGCCACAATTAACAAGCATGATTTTTTAAGCACCATTTTCTGAGAAGGAAAAGAAAAAACGAAGGTCTCTCCCGAGATCTCCTTTTAGTAGCTGGAGAAGGAAGAAGGGTTCAGCAGTGAATGAAACTGATGCTGGTTATCCCAAAACAGGTAGTATCTTAGAAAGCACAAGAAAGCTGAAGTAATTAAGATGTAAATCTAGTGTTGTTTGGAAATCAGCTTTAGATACAGCAACATTAGAAAACTGAATTCACTAAAATCTAGATTGTTTTGTCCATTGTCCAGATTTAGTTTAACTAACTATCTTAAAAAGCAGGAGAAAAATTGAGCTTACTAAAATGTAGATCTGGTGTTGTCAGTCATTGATATTCAGGTAATATAGGAATCTTAGAAGGCAGGAGAAGAATTCATTTGACTGAAATATGATCCAGCTTTGTTGGTCATCCAGATTCAGTTACAAGTGTATTAGTAAGCAGGAGAAAAGTATATTAGAAGTAAGGAAATTTTAAAGTTATATAAAGATGAGAGCTGCTACAGTCATTAAAATGTATTTATGAATGTTTTAAGAATAGGAAAGAGTCAGAAAAAACATTTATTAATTTAATGTTTCAAGTAGAGATAGAGTATATCTAGTAAAAACACAGTTTACTGTATAATTTTAGTGCATTGGGATGTAGAGGTTGTCAGTTTTATTGTAACGTAAGCTGTTAGTGTGCATAACGAGTGACATAGGTTTTAATTATTATTATTATTGAATGATTGGTATATTTATCAGTTATACACCATGATATTAATTATTGTTTTTTTTTTTAAATGAAGACGTGTTTCAAACTGTAATTTAATATTATGCTAGATATTATTAGACTGCAAGTGTATAGTGCTAAGCAAGTTAGTTTGTTGTAGAGCTATTGAGAAAAGTGTAAAGTTAGCTAGTTGCTGTTTGTTGGGCTAAGACTATACAAATTAAACAATGTAGTTGGTATTGGTTTCTAAATTATAACCAGTACAATAGACATTGGAGAAAATACTGTTGTGTGTGTGTGTATTTTGTATAAACATCTGATGGAGACTTGAGCATTGAGAAAGCTAGTAATAAATACAGTGTAGGGCAGTGGCTACTGAAGAATGATTGGTTTGGGTATCTGATACATGGCACATTAAAGTATGTACGATGTAGATTACTATGACAAAGTTGGTTACAATTGTAACAGGAAAATAAAAACAATTCACATTGAGTTCTTACTAAAAGATTTTCAGTTAGTCATGATAGTAATGATCCCATAAGGAACCTTACAGTAGGTCTAAGTGACATTCATATAAAAGGTGTTATTAATTCTATTAATCAGTATATTTTCATAAAAAAATCAAGATTTTAATTTGGGGAAATCAGTTAATATACTCCATATTGAAACTTCTGCTTTTTAAAGACGTTTCTGTATTTGAAAGTTTGTGTTTTATTCTTTAAGTTGTAGTAGGGAAAACATAAATATCTGTAAATATAGATCACTTACCAGAACCGTCTGTTTCAGAACATGCAAGTCCTTCATCCAGTCCTACCAAGGAGGAGGACATACAATTTGCTGGAATGCTTGTTAGAAAACATGAATGGGAATCAACCACAAAAAAAGCCTCAAATAGGTTAGTTACAATATTTTTATGATCTTAGCTGTCTAGAAGAGTTGCTCATACTGAGGTATTGTTGTTTTTTTTCCAGCTTGAATTCTCATTATTTTTTAAAATAATCCTCGGAATTATTATTTATATTTTGACAGGTCTTAGAACAAAATTTAAATCCTCTGAATTATTAATTTTATTTTGACCAGATCTTGGGACAAACTTTACTTGGTGCTTCAAGGAAAGACACTGCTTGCGTATAAAGACCAAAAACACTTCAAAATGGTTAGTTATCTGGATTAAAATATTCTGTTATAGCAAGATATCATAGGTTATAATTTCTGATGTATGGTATTGGCAAGTCATGTTATTCAAGTCTGCTGTTTTTGTGTTTTCTGGGAAAAAGCAAAATTCTGATAGAAGTGCTTTCCTAATATGCTTTAGTCAAACAAGATGTAGTAGCATAAAGAATGTACCATATGTTATCCTGTTCATTCATGTGTATGTACTGGCTTAGACCTGGAATATATTGTTTAGGCTAACATCATTGTAAATTTATCAGCGAATAGGAACAACAGGCCTGAACATAACACAGAAGAAATGCTTATGTCAGTAACATACCATTTCTTTGCCAATATATATTTGTTAGCTTTTTCTATAAAGACTAATTAAAATGTGTAAAATTTCAATCCAATAGTCTTGATATATTTATGTAAAAGAAGTACAAATTCATATACATTGTTAGTTTTTTTTTGTAGGCTTCATTGTTTGTTTATATTTTAATAGTCTATAGTTAGTTTAAGTTCTTAAAATAGTTAACTTGTCTTTCATTTCTAATAGCATTAATATATCAATGTCAGGCATAGTTTGGGTGAACACTAGTGTTTTCTCTCTACTCATAATGAACAGGAACCAGAGAATTACTTCCATGGAGACCAACCCATTGATCTTACGGGAGGTGGAGCTGAAATTGCTGGTGATTATACGAAGAAGAAACATGTCTTTAGGCTGAAGTATGTAAAAAGAAAGAATAGTTGTTTCATTTTTTTTATAAAGTTATACAGTAGAATTGTACATCATACATAAATTATATACGTGAACCTTGTTTGATTGCTATTCATATTAGTAGCTTTTTCATAAAAACATTTGAATTTTCTTTCCATATACACCATTCACAAAAATCTTTTTATATGTCTGTCTATCGCACATGCATTACAGGCATACATACAGAATATATAACTAAATATGACATGCCAATACAACAAATTATTTTTACACATGCTATTGCTTATGCAACCAAGACTATTTTGTAACATGTATTTTTTATTATATCTATTGAATAATTAGTATAAGTGGTTTTTCTTGTAGAGAACTTGTTACAACATGCTTTTTGTTCAGCATCCACATTAACAAAAACAAAACAAAATGCATAACATTTTGACTACCACTAATTTTTTGGCATTTCTAACTAAAAATTCTAAAATCATACTTGTAAAATAAAGAATGTTCTTGCTTCTTTGTTTTTAAAATCTATTTGAAAAAGGAACTTGTTTAAAACGAAATATTTTTTGCATACATTACAAAATTTATGTCTTGCCATTGTGAAAAAAACAACAACAAAAATATGATGATGAAGCAAATCTAATATCAAACAATCACGATATAATTTTTTTTTCTTTCTCGGGGAGAAATGTTAACTCCATTTAAAATTAAGTAAAATTTTCTACCCAACTCAGTTCAAACTTTGATTACAGCATCAGATTTAAAAAATAAATAAATTACTTAATTTTCTTTCCTTCATCTTATTTGATAAAAGTGAATTTGCAGGGAGCAAACAATTTGATTTTCGTAAATTTGGATAGAGAGTGTACGAACATGGATATAATGTTAACTGTATTGCTTTCCAGAAATTAAGAGCTTTACTAGGTTTTTCTATAGATTTTTTTATTTTTTTATGTGCCAAAACAATTACTTTTTGGGACAATTTCTTAGGAATATTGGTGTATGAGTTAACACTGAATCTTTTAGTGTTTTCTATTTTTGTTTTGTATTGCTGATACCCAAAGGATATGAAACATTTTGTTTAACAGCACAAAAACCATTAACCCCCTTCATAACCAGGCAATTATTTTATTTCTAGAAATGAGGGTAAATTGGAAAATATGACAAAATATCAAAATGTTATATTTAATTCATTGTGGAAAATCCCTGTGGTCCCTAGGAATAGAACTAGTGGGCATATCAGGTATATCTCTATGGTAATGGGTTAAACTACCATTTTTCAATAAAAAATCACTATTAATACAACCTTGTTTGAAACCAGTCCTTGCTGAAAACAGTTTTTTTTTCATCATTAAACTGTATGCTTTCTGTTAGTATATCCTCCTTGCGTTTTCTTCCAAAAAATCCTCCTTGTGTTTTCTGCCAGTAAATCCTTCATGTACTCTCTTCCAAAAATCATCTTTCTGTTTTCTACCAATACATCATCCTTGTGTTTTTTGTCTGTAAATTCTCTTTGTGCTCTTCAGGTTTCTATGAAGTCTTTCCATTAGTTCATAAAGAATTGTTTTGGTCTTTGAATAATTTTAATATTTCATTCCCTCTAATCACAATGCATTAAAAATCATTCTGGAAATTATGCCTTAATTCATTCCATTAGTCAATTTTTGTGTGAAAACATCTAATCCATGAATATCTTAGAAGATTTTCTAAGTAATTAAATGTCTACCTTCACACCACATATATATATATAATTATCCAAAAATACATTTAGTAAGGATTTCACTCTTATGAAAGTAAAGATTTTGGTATTGATAATCTCATTCTAGTATAAAGTGACACTCCAGTAGTAAAATATTACAGATAACATAGCCATGTTCTTTAAAATTAAGCTACAAATAACTGAAAATAAAATTCAGCCATTAAACAGCATCAAAAGAACCAAAAACCCTCTTGAGCTGTAGTTGTAATCAGTTAATGATACTATATAAATGTGTGTGTGTATGTAGAACCTTGACTAGTATTCTGGAGTTCTCAAAAACGACAATAATAATGCACAAAATGTTTTCAAAACATGATTTTCATCTTCACCCAAGTTTTTATCGGATGCACATAGTAAAACTTTTGTTTACTTTATTCAGTTCTTGTATCCCACATGATAATTCCAGGTAAATCTGGTGAAACTTTGTGAATAAAAACTTGTGGGAATGATTTTTACCTGTTTTTTTTTTTTGCATGTACTCATATTTTAAAATAACTGGGAATATTCAACAATTTATAGTAAACGTAGTTTGAAGAGTGGAAGAAAGTTTCATTAATAATTTGAATAAAAAATTTGTTCTTGTTTGAAATATGAATGTTCTTTCTTTAATTTTGTAGCTAAACTCAACTATTCAAACTAACAATTTTCTATTTTTTTTTGTAGATTACCTGGTGGAGCAGAATACTTGTTCCAGGCTAAAGATGATGTATGTGCATCTAGATTTTTTTTTAGAACTTTGTATTCTATATGTTAAGAGTCATTCACTTTACAGGTCTTTCTCTTTATTTGACCAGGACTGTGGTGGAAAATTGAGATTATAGAACAGTAGTAGAAACTAAACTATCTCTATTTGACCACTATGGTGGAAAGTTGAGATTATAGGACAGTAGTAGAAACTAGACTCTCTCTATTTAACCAGGACTGTGGTGGAAAGTTGAGATTATAGGACAGTAGTAGAAACTAAACTATCTCTATTTAACCAGGACTGTGGTTGAAACTAGACTCTCTCTATTTGACCAGGACTGTGGTGGAATGGAATGTTGAGATTATAGAACAATAGTAGAAACTAGACCCTCTCTATTTGACCACTATGGTGGAAAGTTGAGATTATAGGACAATAGTAGAAACTAAACTATCTCTATTTGACCACTATGGTGGAAAGTTGAGATTATAGAACAATGGTAGAAACTAGACCCTCTCTATTTGACCAGGACTGTGGTGGAAAGTTGAGATTATAGGACAGTAGAAGAAACTAAACTCTTTCTATTTGACCACTATGGTGGAAAGTTGAGATTATAGGACAGTAGTAGAAACTAGACTCTCTCTATTTGACCAGGACTGTGGTTGAAACTAGACTCTCTCTATTTGACCAGGACTGTGGTGGAAAGTTGAGATTATAGGACAGTAGTAGAAACTAAACTCTTTCTATTTGACCAGGACTGTGGTTGAAACTAGACTCTCTCTATTTGACCAGGACTGTGGTGGAATGGAATGTTGAGATTATAGAACAATAGTAGAAACTAGACCCTCTCTATTTGACCAGGACTGTGGTGGGAAATTGAGATTATAGGACTGTAGTAGAAACTAAACTCTTTCTATTTGACCAGGACTGTAGTAGGAAGCTTTACTTTGTGTTATTAGCATAATTTGAACATATTATGTTCTGTTCATAAAGTATTTTGATTTTTGATGCGATTACTTACGTCCACTCACAGTTACAGCTATTCTTGACTTGACTGCCCTCTAGTGTGCTAATTTTTGATTGCCACTAGCCTTGAACTCCCACCTGCTGAGTTTAAGCATGCAAGTTAGCATGCGACACACCCTCCTATCGCAGTTGACTCCTTCTATGCTGTTGAACCCAATCTTTACTTCTCGAGTTGGCATAACAGTGTTAAGATCTAGTGCTTGATTTCAGACTTTTTTTTCTTTAGTGCATTTCGAAAATATTACTGATTCTTGCATTTCAAAGTATTGTTTACAATCCACTATCAAGTTGGATTTCTTTATTTGATTGTGAATTCTATTTCTCACTCAATCATGGGTAGTCAGTCAATGGGATTGAATTCACAACTTATTATTACGACTACACTGGCTACTGACAGTACCGGCATTCAACACCCTGTGACAATGCCTGCAGATGTGGTGTTATTAGTGGAGGAAGTGTCGTCCGTAGTCGGGAGATGGTTTCTTTCGTGTGGGTCAAGGGATCTCCCAATTTACAAGCAATTCTTCCATTACCTGAGGACTTCAATCAGGATGATGTGGACTTGGGCAGCTCCCCCCAAAATTCCTTTGCTGTGCAAGCACATTCTCAGCCTGTTGAAACACATAGACCTCAGTCACCATTTTTAGACTTGGTATCACAGGTATGTTGTGTTTTGTCTTTATCACCCTTGTCACTTGATCCCTCCCCTTTCTTATTAACTGTACCACCTTGTCCTGAGTTTTTGATTTTTGCCCTTTGCTTGATATTGGGGTCCATGCTGAATGTTATGCAAATCAATTATATGCAGGAGTCAGTATGTCGTGCCCCACACGTACTGCAGAGGGTCATTCACTTGCAAATCATTGTTCAGCAAATCCTTTCTCGATGGATAACAATTGGATTTTGGGGTTCAGAACCCAATACTTCAGTGTGTTTTTCTCTAACATAATTTTCTTGCTTCTATTTCTCCCTCACAACAGTCCTTCATTATCTGTCATCCATTCACCTCTTGTTTGAGGCTTTCTTTCATTCTCCCAAGGGTTTTCCTGCTCACCAACTTGTCCAGATTGTCTTTGTCTGCCCTTTCATCCACACACTTGATTCCTGTGTTGCTGGGATCTTTTGGGTCAGGATGCTTTGTTGACATGTGCATCTCCCCTTGACTTCCTTGGGAGATCTTTGATAAACCCCTTTTTTGAGATGTACGATATTCGATTGGCTTTCAGACACCATGGAGTTTCATGTTGAATCTGCTAGACACACTTCCCTAACTTCTTGTTGTTCCAACCTCCTCCTTCTCCAATTCCTGTTTCCAATCCTCTTCCTTCCTAGACCATGTCTACATGTCGTATCATTATTCACAGATGTCCTGTTACCCTGTATAACTTCAGCATTACAGGTGAATACCTTATTGATTTGGGTCCTGTGCGAACTAGGCTTGTTTGTTTCTCAGAAGTGTGGGAGACTTTTACCACTGACCTTTGGGTGATTTGAGTTTTGTCAGAAAAACTCCCTCCTTTTCGTCACACTTCCCATCTTATCTCCTGTGTCCTGAAGATCCTGTTTCCCACCGGCATCTCACAGAAATGTTCAAGTCTTTCTCATCAACAGTGCCATCAAACAGGTTTATCCTATGTTTCCAGAATTCTATTCCCAACATTTTAAAATCCACAAGAAGACCAGGATGGTGTCTTTTGATTGTTCTCTCCCATCTTCATCACATCCTTGACATGCCTCAGTTCACCATGAAACCTTCACATCAACCTTTTGGTATTCCTTGCTGTTTGTCAGGCAATGGTTTGTTTTCTGTCATTTCTGTGGCACATTTACAGATATGATTCATTCTGTCAACTTGATGGTTGTTCTTAGATCACAAGTCAAAGGGCACTCGATCCTGCACTCTAGATCTCCTCTTCTGTGCTCACACCCATCCAATTTGTTTGCTGGCTTGGCACATACTGGGTGCCCTCAACCTTGTCATGGATCATCTGTCCTATCCCAATAAGACCCTACCCACAGAGTGATCTCTTGATCCCCAGGTATTCTGATGGCTATGTTCTTAGTTGGATACTCCCCAACTTGGTGCACTTACTTCTCATTTGAATGCTAATTTTCCTCTCTTTTGGTCCACAGTTCCATACCCATTGGCTATGGATGCATTCAGTCAGGATTGGATGGACCTTTTGTTTGTGCATACACTAGCATCTGTCTTCTACCCTGAGTAATTTCTCTCATCAAATCCACTCGGGGTTTGGTTTTTCTTGTACCTTTTTTCACCATGGTCTCCATCCCTTCTCCAGGAACAACTTCCATTACCTCTCTCTTTACTGATCCCTCCTCCAACAACCCCACTCAGGGGTGCTTCAACTCTCTCTCCCCACACTCCATCTTCATACACAGCTTTTGTCCGGTCCCTTGTGATGGGTTCAGGACTATCACACGTGTGTAGTATCCCTGTTGTCTCACGCTGTCCATTCCTCATCCATGTTTATGTATCAATGTAGGTGGGTAGGTGGAGGATATTCCATTGTTAGTCTATCCAGTATGGATTCTCCTCTTCCTTTTCTTCCCTTCCTCGCATATCTGTTTTTACATAGTTGTTTTACAAGGTTCTGTCCTTTTCAACCACTGTTGGCTGTAGGGTGGCCCTGTCATCCCCCTTTTGATTTTCCCATTTTTTCCTTATGTTTTCCTCTGCAATTATTTCCCTTCCTTTTATGTCCCATATTTACTCCTGCTCTGATCTGAATTGTCTCCTGTGTCTGGTCCATGCTTTACAGTGTTATGGGTCATGTACAGCACCCTTCCGTGGCTCTTGCTCCCATTTGATTATACGTTTGAATCTGTCCATTTCTTGTGATATATCTTCTATTACCCCTACTGATTGAGTTTGTCAGGTTATCCATATTCCTCCCTTTTTCCTGAATCTAGCCAATTGTTCATTTATCATCCCTTCCAATGTCCTTGGCTGCTCATTTCTGTTGTTCTTTGGAGGGAATTATTCAGGCTGGCATGTGGACCACTCTCCACACCTTGTTGTTGTGCTACATACACCAGTTAGTGGTTTCCTGCTCAGCTGGATATCATCTTCTGTCTGTAGCCATTCTCCATATGTTGGTACAACTCTGAGTGGTTATTTTTGTTTCATTTGTTTTTCAGGGGTCTACTTAACATGTTATGAATTCCACTCTGTGGCGAGTGGTGCCTATCCAGGTATGCTGGTATCCAAAATCTGCACCATTAGATCTATAAAGTCTATCATGCTCAGTGTTGAGATGGGGCGTTCCCAAGACTGTTTGCAGGTTCTTCCTTGTGGTATATTGGATCATAAATATGTTTTTACTTGACCGTACACTCATGGACTAACATAAGTAAAGCAGAAAGAGATTGCTGTCCATCTCTAACGTTCCTTAAGATTGCCGCCTGTTTTTCAAAATGGGGTTTCATGGTCACCCGTTGATGTGTTCCTCCAGATTCTCCAACACGTTTATCCCCCCCTCTCCTTCCAGTAGAGTATGGGAATCCTTACCACTTCCTAGCTCCTAGTTGCTGGAGTGGTGGATCATGGAGGAATCTTCCTGAATATGCACAATTCCACTCAGTTGAGAGTAGGGTGGTGGCATTCTGCCTGTGTAAAAGGTATGACTGTTGTCATGCTGCAGGTCTGATTTTTGATTCCAAATACCACCAGTTTGGACTGGATTTTTCCATCTATTTTGCTGTTCTCCTTCCAGTTTGGATCCCTCCCTCCTACTGCTGCCAGGATGTTGGTTCCTGGGTGACTTGTTTTGGTTGGAACTGGACCAGCCAACACAAGTCCTTACATGTGAGTGGGCTGGGAACTACGTCCTACCACGGACTGGTTGTTACATCCCCAAAGCCACTTGGTTATGGACTGGAATTGTCTCTCCACATTGCATTTCCACCTTCCTGACATTGTCCATATGTACATTCCTGGGGTTTATTGTTCTAGGTTGTGTTGGATTTGCACACATGTTAGTTTAGGTTCTTGTTTCCCTTCTGGTTCCTACACCTGAGGTGAATGGTTGAGGACTCTCTTCCTGCTGGGGGCTGGTTGAGTTCCTCATGGTGCCACTGGTCTGGAATGGGGTTGACCTCCCAATTACAGAAGTTAATATTTTTCTACACTGAAAATATATTTCCAATAGATGCTTTCTCTCACACATACCCTCATCCCCCCACTTCTAGTGTTGTGTTTCGTGCCTAATCTTGAGGTAAAGATTGAGTTCAACTGTATAGAGCAAGACAGCTGTGATAGGAGGGTGTGCCATGTGCTTATTTGTGGATGGTTGTTGCATGCTAAGTTGTGTGCTTAATTGCAGCTGAACCAGGAGGTATGCCTGTGGAATGAGGTGGGAGTTCAAGGATAGTGGAGAGTGGAAATTTGCACATAGAGGACAGTCAAATTGAGAATAGCTCTAACTGTGAGTAGAGGGTAAGTATCTATAAGACATATAATTTCAGTGTAGGAAAATGTTAACTTTTGTGAGTCTAGACAAAATATTAAAATAACAGTAATATTTCAAAATAAATCTAAGTTTTTTGTTTTTTTTTATAATTTTTGTTTACCACATTATTTAATTTTTTTTCTACAAGTTGGACAGGTAACATTGTTTTACTTCCAATATATATGTTCTTCCTAGGTAATATTAATATAGAGCTGTCATATTATGTTATAAATTGAAAAATTGCTTTAATACATAATTGTTTTTTTTTTACTAAAGGAAGAGATGAGTAGCTGGGTCCAGAAGCTTCAGGTGGCTGCTGGAGAAGGAGAAAGCCCTGGTTGGCCTTCTCGTTCCCAGACTCTTCCTGCTAAATCTGAAGGAGAGAAAAAAGAAGAACATAAAAAGCGTGGATTTTTTACTCTGAAGAAAAAGTAACAGGCTCTTCCAGTTTCTGTGCATCTCTGTTCTTCTTTGCAGTTACTGTTTTGAATGCAGCCAGATGAAACAATTTGCATGAATAATGGCATTGCAGCTATTGCTAAGAAAACGTTTATATGTTGGTTAAAAAAAAGTATTTAGTTTTCTCAAGGAATTAGTGTTTAAATTTGGTTTTGTTTGTTCTCTTGTGCCATCTTAACATTTGTGGAACTTGTGCACATTTTTGCTAATAAAATAAAACATTAATTTCATTTACTTCTTAAAATGTTTATTGTATGCACAATGTAATAGTCTGGAAAAAGCTAACCTGTAGAAATCAAGAGATAACCTATTTGGTCTTGGCTCTGATAAAATAATATAAGAGTATCTATTTTCTCCTGGTCAGTTGGTTTAGATGCATGAGTTTGGTAACTGCTATTGAGTTGCTGAACAGTGTGCCATTTTTTTTTCACAGTCCTCTTATTATCAGATCCAACTTGCATGCAGTTGAGAAGAACAGTGTGTCTTTATCCAGGTTTTGGAACTCAGAACAGCCTTTAAAGTTAAATAATTGTAATAGTATGTAAAATAAAAATTTTATAGTTATCAGAAATTTAAAATCTAAAATATAATTTGTTGTGAGAGTTATATACGATTGATCTAATGATATTTTAGATTTATATCTTTATGTTAGAGAATTTTATTTAAATGCTGAGGTTTTTAAGTGCATAACTTCTGATCATTCCTTCCTTTTAAAATTTATCTTTAGCTATTGAACCTTTGAGCCATCCTAACTATGTATTATGCTTTGTGGATATAAAGTTGTCCATAAAGATGAGCTCTTTACTACCATTTTTTTAGGTTTTATTTTTTGTTCAACTTAAATCAGAAATATTTTTGATATTTTGTTTTGTGTCCAGATGTGAAATTAGAGAAATTAAAGCTGTTATACTGTTGGTGTGGTTTGTTTTAACAATGTGATGTTTAGTTCTAAAAGGGGCCTGCCAGTATTTAAAATATTGATTTTGATATTTTATCAATCTACAGCTCAGTTTAGTATAACAAAATTACAGAAATTAAATCTTTTTTTTTATCAAATTATTTAGAACATAATTTAGCTATTTTGTTATTTTCTTATTAAGTATTAAATATGTAAGTGGAACAGAAGCAGTTACCACATTATTTTAAAAGTTTTCAAAAGTACATGTAATATAAATATGCAATGTAAAATTTGTGAAAGGTAAAATAATGCTGTTAGTTTAAAATAGCATAATTTTATGTCTAAAATCGTAAATTGAAGAGATTTATTTTTTTTTCTTGTTAGAATATTTACAAGAGTTTACATACTGTTATTTACTTGATAGAATTGTATAACATGTTTCATTAGCAAGCTATATCTGGTCTGTAGCCTATGTTCTATTTTTCATGTCCTAACCTGTGTTCAGAGCAGCTTGCAGTTGAATGAAAAATAAAGTTCTTTTCTTGTTCAGAAGTATTTATTAAAACATTACTTTTGTAACATAACAGAGATTATGATATATGTATACATATATGATGGTGTTTTATTTGACAAGAAGTGGAGCATTTTATTTAGGTAGAGGGTTGAGTACATTACAATGAAATAACTTTGAAAATGTAAGTCAGCAAATCACATGACAATCACAGCCAATACAAAGTCTTAGTAGCACAGAATATATCACAGTTACATTTTGACATTGTTTGGTGTTTTAGGTAGTGTGATGCCACCAAAAGTTGATTGCTTTTGGGATGAGTATGCAACAGCCCTTTACAACACAAAATATTCATATATTCAGATGATAAAGATGTGTTCTGATTAGGGATTTAGAATTTCTAAGATATGGAAATCCCTTGTACTTATTGACATTATTAAATAGAGAGATGTAGATCAGCTTCGGGTCTCCATTTGATAAAGGGTATAGGTTCATCAGTATAAGGTTTTCATTCATGTCCCTCATTCAACCATCACATACCTCAAGTAGCTGGAAAATGAAATTAATATTAATGCTACTGTATTCAAAGCCATATTGATCTATTCCTGGAAACAGTGCCTGTGGAATTCTGTTTGATTTGTCTGTGGAAATGAACACTGAGAAACCGTTTCTTTACACTAGATTGTGTTATGATGCTGTATTTTTGTAAAACTTGCTTGTGAAGTGCTGTAGGTGTATTGCCTGATCAGTGACGTGTAACTAATGGTTTTTAGCACACATGCTCTCTGTAATGGTTTTTTTGGGTTTTATATAAAATGTCTCTAGTTTCCGTTAGTGGGAGTAAGAGAGGAGTGTTTTTTGAGAAGTATGGTTTAGTTTAGTATGAGTGGCCATTTCAGACAGAGATTTCTGTATTGAACTTGAAAGAGTTTTTGAACCTAGATATTAATCATAGGTTTTTATTATAAGTTATCATTAGCTTTTTGTTTATGACTCTAAAGAGTTGGAAAGCTTAAGAATCAGTCTTAACTTTTGTAACCTTTGTAAGCCTTATGCTTTTTGAAAACTGTTTTTGAAAATATTGACAAGTTTTGGTGCAGTAGCCATTGGAACAGTGGACTTTTTATAACCGTACATCTAGCATGATCTAGAATTGGAGAGTTCCTACTTGGATCTACCAAGAAAGAATGATTTTTTTTGCATTGTTCTTTTTTGTAAATTATTATATATAAGTTAATATTTGGTGTTTGTGTGTTGTTATAATTTTATAATATTTAATATATGTTTAAAACTATAAAATTGCAGAGTTGTCATTTATTGTTTTTATGTATTATACAGTATGGTAATATGGGAGTGTAACAATTGGGGGCTCATCAGTGATATGAAATAAGACGTCAGCTAGAGCTGGTTGTAAGAAATTGATAAAATCTTTAGAATTTATATAGTTGTGCAATATATATTATCTGTGTTTTGTATAAATTATCTAGAAAGTTTTAGTCTCGATCTGTTTAAAATATTATTGTCAAAACTCAAACTCAGTTTTAATTTGAAAATAATTTATAGTTTAGTTTGGTGTAAAATTTTGTGAATATATTTAAACCATAAGAAGTTAGTTTGAAATGGCTGAAAATTTCAGTGTTAAAGAGTTTTTGGAAGTAGAATTTATCGAAAGAGAAGAACTTTTACAATTGAGAAAAGATTAGTTGAAGGAATTATGTAAGGAACTTATCAGTATCTGTCAAGGCAAAAAAACACGAAATTTTAGAATTAGGCTTAGCTAACTTAGGTAAATATAAGAGATAATGATGAGGAAGTTGATATTATTTATAATAAGACAGTAGATGAGTCATAAACTGAAAATACTAACTCCGTATCATCAAATTTTGAAAATGTGCAAAATTAAAATCTGACTTTTTAATAAATTATAGAAATAAAAAAGCTTGAATTCAAAGCAGAAGAGCGTAGATTTAAGAGAAGCTGAAGATTGCAAATATGAACAAAAACAAAAAGCCAAAGATCACAAAGTTGAAGAATAACTAAGACTTGAGAGAGAAAAATATAGACATTAGATTAAAAGAGATCGAAGCTTAAAGTCAAAGAAGTCATCATAGATCTGGAGATCAAGCTGGAAGATATGTAAAAATGTTAGTAAGTACCTTCAATGAGAATGATGTTGATAGTTTCTTTTTGATTTTGAGAAAACATGTATACTTATTGAAGTTCCTAGAGATAAGTGGTCTATGTTATTGCTATCAAAATTAACAGGGAAAGCACTAGAGGTTTATTCAGCTTTAAGTTTTGAAGACTGTGCAAATTATGATGTTGTCAAAAAAGGAGATTTTAGAAACATATGAACAAATACCAGAAAAATGAAAGCAAAATTTTAGACAAAGTACTAAATTATCTACCTAGTCATATGTCGAATTTGCTAGATGCAAAGAAGTAAAGTTAGGAAAATGGCTTAGATCTAAATCTATACACAAAGACTATGAAAAATTTAGAACTCATTTTGATTGAAGAATTTCTGTACAAGGCATCTTTTAATGTCAAAGTGCATATTGAAGATAAAGTTGAGACTTTGTCAGAAGCTGCAAAATTGGCTGATGAGTTTGTTTTGATTCGCAAGTCAGTTTGGTAAAAAAATTCAAACTTCAAAAATTGTAAAAATTCTGATTTTACTGCTAACAAAGACAAAAAGAAAGAACAGATAAAATACAGAAAGTAAAGTTGAAAACTCAAACATTTGTTATTATTGTAAGAGACCTGGCCATTTCAAGTCAAATTGTCCAAAACTAGAATACAAGAAAAACCTCGAACAGTCTGAAAATAAGAGTAAACCTAAAGGAAGTAATTTCTACAAGCCAGTTAGCTCTAATGGATCCAAGTGTATGCCAGTTTTGGAACCTGAACCTTTGGGTTTTTATCATTTTATGGATAAAGGGATTGTTTCATCTGTTAATGCTAGTCATTCTGTTGTTTATGTCTTTAGCACATGACTTACCCCTAGCTGGACATCTTGGAGTTAGAAAAACTAAGTTAAGACTCATGCAGCATTTCTATTGGCCTGGACTAGGGAAAGATGTAGCTGAATTTTGTAAAACATGTAAAACTTGTCAAATAGTTGGAAAACCTGATAATATAGTTTGCAAAGCACCTTTGAAACCTATTACTTCTGTCAAAGAACCATTCTCTAGAGTTATTGTGGATGTTGTAGGGCCCCTTTCTGGGACAAAAGAGAGGAAATAAATTTTTGTTGACAATCTTGGATCAGGCAACTAGGTACCCCAAAACTATTGCTATTAAAGAAATTTCTGCTACAACTGTAGCTGAAAGATTGATTAATTTTGTTCTCACATTTTGGTTTACCTAGACAAATTCAAAGTGATCAAGGTAATAATTTTGTCACAGGTTTTCCGGGAAATCATGACAAAATTAAGCATCAAGACATCTAGATCTATAAGTTCTGTCCGTCAGATTCAGGGTGCATTTGAACGTTATCATCAAATTTTCAAAAACATGTTCAGGACTTTTTGTTTGGAACACAAAGAAGATTGGGACTTAGGGACACCTTTAGTTTTGTTTGCCACAAGGGAAGTTCGTATTGAGTTAGTTGGAATCTCTAGTTTTGACATGATCTTTTCTCATAATGTGAGAGGACCTTTGTTGTTGCTCATAGACAGCTAGTTGGAAAATGAGGGAGACCATTCTAATATCCTGGATTATATTTCGGATTTTAAGGAAAGGTTGAATGCAGCAGTGAACACAGCTCACAAAAAATTTATTAGTTAGTAAAAAACAAACAAACTTGGTGTGATCATAAAAGTCAGGCTACATCTTTTGAAATTGGAAGTAAAGTCTTGGCATTGCTACCCGTTCCAGGTAGTCCCTTGAAGACTAGATTTTCAGGACCTTATAAAGTTGTTGAAAAATTGAATGATTTGGATTTCATTATTGAAACTCCTGATCATAGAAAAAACAAGCGAGTATGTCACATCAACATGTTGAAGCCATATTTTGAGTGTGAGCCACCAAAACTTGTTAGTGTGGCAGCAGTCGTGGCTGAAAATACATCTGAAGTTGAAACGGACTATCAGAATTTGGATTTTAGACTGCAGAATTTTAAGGCACTCTCAAGTATCAAATCAGAGATGCAGGGATTGAATGAAGAACAAGATAAGTTGTCACAGTTGTTAACTGAATTTCAAGATGTGTTTTCTGACATTCCAAGTAGAACCAACTGGAAAATTTAATGTTTGAAAAAGGAAGTTGATGAAATGTTGAATTTAGGCCTTATTGAACCGAGTACTAGTCAGTATAGTTCCCCTATTATAATGGTTCCAAAACCTGATAAAACTACGGGAGTTTGCATTGATTTCAGAAAAGTGAATGTGGTGACCAAGGCAGATTCGTACCCTATATCTCGAATTGATGATTTGATTGACAAAGTTAGTAATGCAAAGTTCTTGACACAATTTGATCTTCGAAAAGGATATCAGTGTCCATTATCTGAGCAAGCAAAACCATTAACTGCTTTTTGGATTTTATCAGTATTTAGTCACGCCTTTTAGACATAGAAATGCACCGGCAATTTTTTTTTAATTAATTAATTCTGTCACTGAAAATATGTCAAACTGTTCGACTTATATAGCTGATACATACCTATATGATGATTCATGGGAACAACATTTGGAAAATATTCGTGAATTTTTGACTAGGTTGAGAAGAGCAGGTTTGACCGGTAACTTACCTAAATGTGAATATGGCCAAACACAAGTTACCTATTTAAAATTTCCCCCAACCAAGGACTAAACGTGAAATTAAGAGATTTCTTGATATGACTGTATTTTACCAAACCCACTATTTTTGTGATGAAAAGAAAATTATGCTTATACAGTTATAGCACAGCTGCTTATGGTGTTTAACTAATTGTACATAGTCTACATTCTTCTGATGAAGCATTAGGATTTTGGGCTTGAAATCGTCACATGCAATGGCTTCTGTTGACACTTAGTAATTGGAAGTCCGAAGCCATATTACTACT